TATATATATATATATATATATATATATATATATATATATATATATATATATATATATAGATGTAGAGTGCTCACACCGTACTTCCTTTCTTACCCTCAGCTCGTTTGAAAGGACTCACAATATGTAAACTTGTAAAGTAATTAAATGTTGTTATTGTTAGAAAGGGCTTTTGAATTAAAATTGAAATTAATTTTTCATAAAAAATTTATTAATTTTAATTTATAATTCAAAGCTTGTGATATAATATAAAAGGAATTTATTAAGTCGGTAGAGGGTCGGATATTCAAAAGAATCCAGCTCGAGCGTGAAAGAATGATGGCACGAGCTATCCTAGAGCCTGATGCTTATCTGCTCGTTCTCGATTCGTCTCCTAGATCTTCCACTATCCACTTTATGTACTAGTACTGTGTGATATATATTCTGTATATTCTATTCTTTCGGTAAATGTATAACAAATCGGGTTGCTGGAACACTTGTTTGGAGTTCTGTATAAATATTATTATTATAACCAGCGCTTTTAAATAAACTACGACGGTGATAAGTTTTATGTTCTATTTAAGCCGGTTGATTATTGTATTCTATTGTTTTCCTGGACTCTACTTTGTTTTAGGCCAATTTACATTCCATCATGTTTAACTATCGTTAAGGTAAAGTACCCAGTAGTTGAATAGGTTTCAAAGTAAAATGGGTATTTGACCCTACTTTTAATATATAAAATAAAGATGTTATTATTAGTTCAAATTAGTGATTTTCATGAAAATATAAACAATTTTGAATTGATTCAAGTGCAAAATAACGCAAATAATTGAATATTTATAATTTGACAACGTTTTTAAGATAGACTATGAAAAGAGTAGTATTTGAACAATCAATTCTGACAAGCCGCAGTAGTTTAACACTCTGGGAGTAGTAGTTGAACTAATAAAATATATGGCAATAGGCACACCAAAATTTTTTAACGTTTAATTGAAATATTCAAAGATTTATAATATATTATTGAATAATATTAAAAATAACACTGTGAATAATTAATATGTTCATTTAAAAATGAAAAATATTTGTAATATTTTTTAATTACATTTTTTATGAATGACAATGTAAATTTTCAATTATAAATCAAAAAAACTCTATTCAAAACGTTCAATAATTTTTAACTATATTAATTTTTAGTTATAAAACTTATTTAATTTGCAATAATTAATACAAATCACAGTACTGATCACTAGTCTATAAACCTATTGAAGGTTAGAGTGCTGTTAAAATTATATTGTCCCAGCTTGTTCAAGTTCTGGGTACTGCTTTGAAAATTGGGAGGTATAGTTGAACGCTAAAATTTAATATAAAAATTATAGTTTATGTCTTTGCAAAAAATATGTATTATTTAGAAAAGACTATTTCATTGGGTGGTACAATTTTTTTCACTTAAAATAATGATATACCGTTCTTTTTTTACTGATTGTTCGGTTTACGGTTTAGTACCTTTTTCATGAAAAAAATAGCATCTATCGGCGATTCTTGACATGTCAACTTTAAAATTAACAAAAATGTAATTGTTTTGATTTATAATTGAAAAAACTTACCAAAATCAATTACTTTATCATTGAATAATTATAAAATGCGCATATGACTCATAATATATATACAGATTTTGTATGAAAGCAATTCTAAAAGTCTGTTCAACTACTGGTCCCATTTTTAGAAGTGTTCAAGTACTGGGTACTTTACCTTACTGAAGAAATTGAATTTTTTTTCAAATTTCTACGACCATTTTTTGCTGTTATTAATTAATGAAGCAAAAAAAACGCACAATTTCGACCACGCGCAGATAAACAAGTCGCTGTGACTCGAGAAAAATTTAATATTTTTGTATTTATCTACCAGAAAAAAAAAAATTGCCAATGTAAAGGAAAATTTATGTGTAAAAAAATTTTTTTTTTAATTTTCAAACTACTTTTTTTAATAGAAAAAAATTTTTTTTTTACCTTGACTATAGATAACTGTTTGAATAAATAGTTTAAAAAATTTATCCAATTAAAAAATTTTTATTTTTGACTTTTCTTCAATTTTTTTTGACAACAAAAACAAATTTTTGGTTTTTTAAAATTCCAAGAAATTTTTCTTTAAATTGCGAATTTTTTTTCTAGTAGGTATATCTATTACTTGCAAAACAAAAATAAAATGTTGGATAGATAATTTCTAATTTTGTGGTAAAAATTGTGAAAGGCGTAACTTGTTAAATTTGACTAATGAATAATGAATGATGTATTGATTGCCAATTTTGAATTAATAATTTTACATGTTTTCTTCTTAGTAAGAACTGCGATATTATTTCGTAATTTAGTTACTTTAAATAGCACTTTGTTTACTCGAGAATCTATAAAAAAAATTTCATCATTTCTAACAACTTTTTATGGTTTATTTTTAAATGCAAAAATAATTATTTTTAAAGATTTTTAGTAAGTTTAAAAATTTTTACTACTTAAATATGAAAAATTAATATTGAGATTAAATATGAAGAATTTTCTATTGAGTCACTCATTTTTTAAGTCTTTATTTTTAATTAAATAAATAAAACACATTATTTAAAACATTTTTTAACTTTTTATTATAATCTTATATTAATTAAAATAAATAAAAAATTACTTAATTTTTAGCAAAAATTCAAATATTGAATTTACAAAAGTCTCTCAAAAATTACAGGGTGTGCCATCTGTTAGACGATAGATAATACTTGGGCAATAATATCAAGAACATTGATATAAGTGGTGTCATCTTCAAAAAATAATTTTAATTAAAAAAATTTTTGAAATAAAATGGCAAATTTGAAATTCTAGTTTTAAATAATGTGAAAAAAAAATTATCTCTCATTAATAAAAATCTTAAATTATTTTTTCTATGGTATATATAATTTATAATTGATGTATAAATGATAAAAAAAATTCAAATTGACTATCTTGACAAAAAATTACCCAGACATTTATTAAGTGTGTTAAGTTAAATTATAATTAGAAAAATTTATTCACTTAAATATTATTATAAAGGCCAAGATTTTTGCTTTTTTGAAATGAAATTAATGGTTTAAATTTTGATATTACGGCAAAAGTATCAGTCTTAGAAAAAATTTTTTAAACAAAAGTTGTCCAAAATTTAATTTTCTACAAAAAATATCTCATGATTTTTTTATACTCAATATTTTCACTGTAATTCCAAAATTAAAATTCATAGCGTGTAATTCAAATTTTTCCTAATTATAAAAATGTTAATTTAAAAATTACGGCTTTTTGATTGGTCCGAGATATTTTTTTTATAAAATTAATTTTGAACAAATTTCATATGAAAAAAAATTTTTTTAAGACCAATTGATTCGCCGTAATATCAAAAATTTAAGACCATTAAAATAATTACACCAAAAATTCTGCATATGAACATTATTATTATTCTAAGTCATTATTAATTGCGGATGGGATCATTTAAATAAATAAAAAAATAAGATTTTTTTGGTTTAAAGCGATCAATTGAACGATTCTTATAACATAATTTATTATATTTTTTTTAACTTCTTGTAATGAAAATATCAATGATTTTCAAAAAATCGAGAAGTTATTCAATTAATCATTAATTTATAATATATACAATTATTTTTTTATAATAAATAAATTTTAATTAATTAACGTTCGATCCATGGGCATCTTGGCTGGCTAGAAAAAAAAAAATTGAAAGATATTATTTATAAATTAATTATAATAAATAAATTTTTTCAATAAAAAAAAATTAACTAAAATTTTTAGATGTCTACTAATTTAATTTTCATTGACTTTAATATTATAATAAATGTTTTTCAGTGTTAATTATTAAGTAAAATTAAAAAATTGTTGAAAATGATCAAATTTAATTAACCTTTGTAAGAGTACTCCAAAGCGGTAGCTATCGTTCTCATATCACCTTCAATACTCTGTGCCCAATTTTCTGCATCACCAATTTCTTTCAATGCACTTGAAAATGATTCGACTAAATTCAACCATAAGTGTGTTTGTTTTGCAAATGCCGTTGCTGATTGTTGCAGTTGTTTAGCTTCGGCATCTAATTTTCGCTGGTTCAAATATGCCTGTGCAACACTAATCAATAAAATACATTCTCAGTCAATATTGATTAAATAATAAAATTAAATTAATATTAATCTTAAGTTTCATAAATAATTACCGAACATTTAGATGATCAACCAATGCTTGTGTTAAATTATTAGCCGCTCGAACCGCTTCTTTGCGTTTTTGTTCTAATATTTAAAAATAATTATTGAAAATTTTTTTATTTTTCTTTTAAAAATAAATCAGGTCTACAAGATTATTTTGAAAAAAATAATATTTATAATTTTAAAAAAAAACCTTCTAGAGATAAATTTTTCTCTTATTGTAAAAGTTTTAAAAATTATCAGATGTCTCTCAATTTCAGTATCACAATAATTATTAGCAGTAATTTGATAATTTTTTAATTTTATTTAACAAAAAAATTTTCTTAAAAAATTGCATTTGTAATTTATTTAAATTTTTAAAATTAAATTACAAAAATTTTTAAAATTATCAAATATCTGCTAAATTAATTTTAATTAATTATTTTATATGATACTTAAATTAGCCGAAGATCAACAATTTTTTACTTTTTTTTTATTAATTAAATTAAAACTAAAAAAATATTTTTAAAAAATTACACGTAGGGTAAATGCACCAGTTGTTGACCGGTCACCAATTAGTTAACCGATGTATAAAAAAGTTAATTAATTAATATTTTACAAGGGTTTTTTTTTCTTAAAGTATTAAAATAAGAAAATATGGCATTTAATCATCATAATAAAAAATTACGCAATTAATTGCGCAGTGATTATAGCTTTAAAAAAATATTCTGAGTTTGTTTACAACGCAACCAGCCATAAAGCGGTCAAAAATAACTACCGTACAATTGGAGAGTGAGTGCATTTCATCATTAATTTAGTGATATATATCGGCATAATATAAAATATTTTAATTTTATTATGTTAATTAAAGATCAGATTCCAACTGTTTTGAATAAATAAAGTTAAATTATAAGTTTTAATATTATTTTAAGACCAGTCAACTATTGGATCCGTCAGAAGCCCATTACCCAGTAAAAAATTCATTCGGTCATTGATAAGACCCTCTGATTTTATCACAATCCAATTAATCACCGTATATTTATAATACTAACTTCTTAAACTCAAAATTAAATCTGTCAAGTGTTTAAAGGACTTTAGTCATTCAATATTTTGTAAATAATAAAAATAATCATTATAAAATGTATATTTATAATAGAATTTTTTTTATTGAAAAAATGATTACAAAAAAATAAAAAAAAAATTTTCACTTGTCAAAAACTTTAAAAACTGTAAGTGCAATTTTTTAAAAATATTTTATTGTTCTAATTTAATTTAAAAAAATTAAAAATGTCGGCTAACATTATTATTATCAATAATTGGTGCATTTACCCTATAATTTTTGAAATTTTCTATACATGAAATTGTTTCTTTTAATTATTTTTTAATAAAATAAATCACAAAAATTTTCAAATGTCGTGTAATTTAATTTTCATTAATTTTATTACTTATCAATAATTAATAATTTATACCTTGTGATTCTTTCTTAGCAGCTTGTTTATTTTGGTGCTCTTTAACAATGCTTGACAACATTATGAGATTTTTAACCTATCTTAAAATTAAGATTGTTACAGGTAAATATATTTATATCTATATTTATACATATGACAGTAAAAACTTCAACTATAATTCAATTAAACATTTTATTTACGTAAAAAATAGATTTAGACTAAAAACAGAAAAACAGAAATCAGCCAAAGTGAAGACTGTCATTTATTGACGTATAAATATGTCTACATATAAAAAATGAAACTGGCAAGTGGCGCCCTCTTATATGAACTAATTTTATTCAAATATTTTTGCATACAAATTTTAAAATCATTAAAATTATTACAATTTACAATAATTTATGTTAGGTATTATTAATTAATAATTAAAAAACAAAGAAGATATTAATTAAATAAACTAAAACAAGGAAGTATATATTAAACAATGAAATTATTTATTTATTTATTTAATAATAACTATTATAATTAAAACTAAATCATTTATCTAAATAAAAACAAATATGATACTGAAGTCAGCTAACAGCTGTAAAAAAATTTTTGTAATAGATAAATTACATTAAAATTTTAATTTTTATATATGGAAGTTTTTAATTACATTGAATTTATAATTTAATTTTTATAAAATTATTAAAAAATTTTTTACTAAGATTAACTTCAGTTTCATAATATAATCCTAAAGTTAGCTGACAATTTTTAATTTTTATAAAAAATTATTAAAAAAATTTTTTATAATTTCCACATGTAGAATTTTTAATAAATTTTTTTTTATAATAATTAAATTTTAACAAAATTACCAAAAAATGTCAGTAAACTTCAGTGTTGTAAAAAAGTTCCTGTGAAAGCAATAAAAAAAAAAATTTACACAGGAAAGGAGGTGTTAGGATGGTGGAGGGACAGAAGAGATTCATAATAATAAAATGTAATTTAAAATTTATTGTAAATTTTATTTTAAATATTTTTCTATCGAGGATAAATTTAATGAAATATTGATAAAGAATATGATCAATTAAAGACTTTAAAGATGTAATTAAAACGAAACATTTCTATCCGATGATTTGATAATCTTGATAATAAAATAATTTTTTGCTTGAACAAAATATCCCCGGTACGGCCCCTTAAATATTTTATCCGATTTTCTTTCGTAAAAAACTTTATTCAAAATAATTATTCAAAGTCTCCAGTATTATATTCTTGGATCTGGGGAGCTTGATGCGTATTTTCCGTTTGTATTTTATCTTGATGATTGACCACTAACAATCCCGTGGACTCTTCGTTTTTCAAGTATTTTTCAAGCCTCGAGACACCCTTCGCAGTTCTTAGTTGTTCTTTAAGTGAACGGGATTGGATCATATTCTTTGTCAGCGCGAGATTAAACCCCTTGAGATCTTGAAAATTTGAGTAAGAGTTTTTTCCGAGTAAACATTCTTCATCAATTTTTAGATTTTTTTTTTTTTTTTTTCATTTATATATTGACATATATATATATATATTGACATATATATTTAATTTATAAACAAGTTTCTTCGGTCTCTTTCTCTTTTCAAATCTCTGTTATTTTTTTCACTACCTTTTTTTTTCTTAACTTCAAACTTCCCTCTATCATCCAATACCTCTTGATTCAAAACCTTATAAACAAACAAACATGTTAGAGAACTTACATTCGCTCTTAGTTTTTTATTTATTTTTATTTATTCTTTTAATAATAATAATTATTATTACTAGTATTAATATTAATATTAATATTATTATTTTTTATTAAATTAAAAGATTAATTTTGTTGACTTATTTTTTATAAACTATTTAAAAATACCACATTTATTTACCTTATTACCCTCCCCTTATAAACACGAAGGTGAATTGGTCTTATTAAATAATTTATATTAATCAGAAAATTTTAATAACCAAATCTAAATATATGAACAAAAAAAAACAATTACAAGTCTTAAGATTTGGATTTATATCGCGTTAATACAATAAGGACGTTTTTTACGAAGATTAAATATTAAAAATTCAAATATTGCCATAAATAATTGTAATGATAAATTTAAAAATTTTTTTTTTAATAAAATACAATAAATTGATGTGGGTACTCAAATGAAAGGTCTCGATGAGTGTAACATCGAAATGAGTTTATATCGTAAAAAATGTCAATAATTAAGAAATTAACTTGTATCTTGTGAAATATTGACATTTTTAAAGATATAAGCTTATTTCGATGTTACACTCATCGAGGCCTCTCATTTGAGTACCCACATCAATTTTACATATATTTTATATATTTATATATATTACATATATGTATATATGAAAAATATATCAAAAATGCATGTGGGTACTCAAATGAAAGCTCATGATGAGTGTAACATCAGGATGAGCTTATATCTTCAAAAGCGTCAATATTTAAAAAAGTATAGCGCAATTTAACAAAATTCATTATTTAATAAAGCAAAATTTTAATTTTTATATTCTACAAGTCGCAGAAGTCACAAAGTGTTTGCAAGGTTGCTACCAATTAATTATGATCTTTCTTTTATTGACGTCCTGATTGTAGGTAACACGATACAATTTAAACCAATCTTTAAATAATATATATATTTTTCGTAATAGAAAAATGAAAAGGTCAATATTCTGACAAATTAATTGAAAAGCCCACAATATTAATTCGAGCTTAGTCAGATATAAAAACATAATGCAATATTTTATTTAATATTTTTTATATTCATTATCTTTGTTTATTGAATATTGTTATTCATTTATTTTTTTTTTTTTATTAAATCATTTTGACCCTCCCGCTAGTATAGAAGAAATAAGAAGGGTCAAAGGCTCAAGACAGATAAATGGCTTCCGATACACCTGGCCCACTCGCATCGCAACTCGAGTCACTTTAATATCGACCTGAAATTAATTAAGCAACAAAAAAACTGTGATTGTTTTTGAATACCCGTACACTCTCGTAGTAGGACTTTAATTTTTCTACCGCTAAAAAATAATTACTGAGACCATTTTTAACATTTATTCTCTCATTTTTAATCTTAAATTACCAGGATAATTATATGCTCCGAAATTACGTAGACATATGGCCTGCATTGACATTTAAATTCATAATTTTTTTAACAAATTAATAATTTAATAATAATCATACAAGATTTTATTAAAATAATAATAATAAATCCGGTTTTAGAATCCGAGCTCTCAGGATTTTGTAGACCATATATCTACATGCGATAAGGTGATTTTGGAAACATGGAATGATCAGACTTACGTGGTGAGTAGGAGCGTGACCGTGAACGATCATAACGTGGTCTCCGGCGGTTGTAGTATGGACTCGGCGAGCGACGGTAACTGCTTCTGTGGTTAGAACTTCTGATGTGATAAAATTTGTTTTCATTATTGAACATTTTAATTATTTAAAATTTAAAATGCCAATAAATAAAATTCTATTTTATTTTATTTTTAAAACTTTAACTTACTCTCGGCGTCGAGGTCCATTCCAACCTCTGTCATGCAAGTATGTAGGTTTTCCCATGTAAATTCCGGGTGTGGGGGTGTGTGCTCGTTGTGTAATTGAAAAGTCAACTCTTATTCGTCGGCCATCTATCTCCATTCCAGAACATTGCTCTTTTGCCACTTTTGCGTCTTCACTTGATTTGAAATATACAAAACAGAATCCTCGTGATCGACCGGTCTGAAATTATACAAAATTATTTTAAAATTTATATAATATTAGATTTATAATTAATTTGGTTAAAATAAATTTGAATGTTGCTAAAGGCCTTTAACATAGTACATAAGCTGTATGAGTACTTGTTCTAAATCTTTAGCGATTTTATGTACCAGACTAAAAAAAATTCTGGAATAATAATAATAGAAAAACTTCGATAAAATTTCAATGACTCTTGTATTTTCATCATTCAAATTTTATCTATAATAATTAATTTTCTATCTAAAGTTTTTCAAATCTTCTACATATGAAATTTTTACTTTAAATTTTTTCCATAAAAAAAAAATTATAAAATAATAATTGGTTCTAAAAACTTAAAAAATTTTTAGAAGTCTTTTAAATTTACTATGATATGATTTTCTGAAAAAAAATAGTTACTTTGAAATTAAACAATGCAAAAGATAACTAATAAATAAAGAGTAACTTAAATAGATATCAAAATTACGTTAGCCGACATCTAAAAATTTATAGAATATTTTTCATTGACAAAATAATTAAAACTTGCAACCTTACAGTCACTATGTGACTACCGTGACTTGTAACTATAAATAAATAAAATTTTGCTTTATTAAATAATGACTTTTGTTAAATTGCACTGTACTTTTTTAACTATTGAAGTTTTTAATGATATAAGCTCACCCTGATGTTACACTTATCAAAAGCTTTCATTTGAGTACCCACATGCATTTTGATATATTTTTCATATATACATATATATAATATATATATATAAATATATAAAAAATTAATGTGGGTACTCAAATGAAAGGTCTTGATGGGTTTAACATCGGGATGAGCTTATATCTCTAAAAATGTCCATATGTGACAAGATAAGAGGTAATTTCTTAATTGTTGACATTTTTTAAGATATAAACTCATTTTGATGTTATACTCATTGAGACCTTTTATTTAAGTACCCACATGGTATTTTTTATACATTTTATACATATAGTATTTGTGAAATATATAAATATATAAAATATATAAAAAATTGATGTGGGTACTCAAATGAAAGGTCTTGATGAGTGTACCATGGGGATGAGCTTATATCTTTAAAAATGTCAATATTTGACAAGATAAAATTTCAATTTTTAATTATTGACTTTTTTTTAAGATACAAGCTCATTTTGATGTTACGCTCATCAAGACCTATTATTTGAGTATCCACATGGCATTTTTCATATATTTTATATATATGGAATTTGTGATATATATATAAATATATAAAATATATGAAAAATTGATGTGGGTACTCAAATAAAAGGTCTTGATGAATGTAACATCGGGACGAGCTTATATCTATAAAAATGTCAATAGTTCACAAGATGCAAGGTCATTTCTTAATTATGTACCTAAAGATAGAGCACTTTCCAATGCAGCCTAAATACTTATCATCATAAATTGACTATTGATGAAAATAACATAATACCATAAATAGGCACAACTCCAAATCAAGATTTGTCCAACGATATCAAATTTAACCATAAAAACTCATTTTATCATATAAATACACTAATCACAAAATTTTGCTTATCCTCCTAATAATATAAATAATTTTTCATCATTAAAAAACTTGAAAAACTATAAGTGCAATTTTTAAAAAATATTTTTTGGTAACAATTTAATAAATAAAAAAATTAAAAACGTCGACCAACTTTAACATTATAAATAAAAATAAAAAATTACTAACCTTAGCATCGATAACAACTTCAACCCGTTCAACTGGTCCATACTTAGAAAAAATATGATGAATTTGCAGCTCAGTAGTGTAAATAGACAGTCCAAAAACTCCTAGACAGCGTGAAGGACAAGGATTGTCCCGATTGCCGACGTGTCGGCGTCTCGAAGACATCGGACTGCGTGAGTGTGATCGGTAAATATTGCGATCTCGTTCACGGGAATAGCGCGATCTCGAGTATGAACGTGATCGGCTGCGAGAATACCGTCCGTCACCTCCACGGTAGGGTGATCGGCTGCGACTGCGACTTCTTCCGGCTGCATATTTGGTATTGCGATATGGTTTACGTCCACGTGATACAGAGCGACTTCGTGACCGCGAGTACTCCTTAACCGGTCGTTCTTTTCGCTCCCTTGACTTACGCGATCTGGAGCGTGATCGGGAATCACGAATACCTCCATCTGCTGTTCGGGGTCGGCGAGGACTCGCGCTCCGACTCCCACTGTGCTGTAAATATAAAATATAAATAAAAATAAATTTTTTATTTTGGCAAAAAGATTTTTAAAATTAAATAATTTAAAAAAAAAAATGAAAAAATTATGTTTTTTTATGACAGTAAAAATAGCAGACGTCTAAAAATTTTTGATTTATTTTTATTAATTAAATTACAACTAAAAAGATATTTATAAAAAATTGCACTTATAGTTTTTCGAGTTTTTTACTATGTGCATTTTTCGACGCAGTAAACAAGGCGGCTTATGGCTTATGTGAGTCCCGTGTATGGAAGCATGCGCACTGGGTCACATCCAACGATCCAACAGACTGGTCGGTGGTCGCACACAGCTGTTATGATGCGTCCTGTTCTATCACACGGACTTCGGATGATACGGACTACTTTCTCTCTCGCACAAATTTAACCGCTTCGATTTTAAAACTTTAAAGCATATGAAAATAAAATTAGCAGACAGATGACAATTTTTAGAAATTTTTTTTATTGATAAAATAATAAAAAAAAAAAACTGCACAGGTAAAAAATTTGAAAAACTGTACGTGCAATTTTTTAAAAATAAAAAAAGTAAATAAAAATTAATAAAAAAAAATATTAATTTTTAATTTGTAAAGATAGAAATAAATTATAATTAAAAACTAAAAATAAAATATGAGCATACATTAGAGAATCAATAGTATTGCCGTGTAGGAAATGACAAATTTTTTATTTTATGGTTAGCTAATTTAAATTTTGTAATTTATTTATTAAAAGGTTTGTTAAAAAAAAAATCTTACCTCAATGTCACTCATTTTTTGTAGAATTAATAAAACTGATTTTTACAGATGTATAAACGTGGTAATTATTGCAAATGGATTGAGAATTAATGAAGAGCAAATTGATGGCGTCACTTATATTTTAATGGCGGACGGCGAGGTTTTTAGTTTTGGTATTGTCTAATTCGTCTAGATAGAACCGGAGAGACAAGCGGAATAGCACGGAACTTACTAAGGAATATATTTTACTACCAACATCCGATGTTGCTAAGTTACCAGTAAACCGAGCTAGTCATTGGTTCATGTTTGATCAATATGGCGTTCATTGATTAAAATTATTATCAGCAATTTAATTGTGAACTGTAATAAAGTTAGCCAACTATTTTAATTTTTTTTTATCTATTATTGAATTAGAATTAAATAATATTTTTTTTTTAACTGTACCGATAGTTCCTTAAGTTTTTTACAAATGAAATTTTCTTCTTTTTTTTGTAATAATTTTTTTAATTAAAAATAATTTTTAATTTTAACTTACTTAATTTTTATAAATTGTTATGATATTTATTTTTTTTTTAAATTATATAATTATTTAATTAATGATTTGTAAAAAAAATTATCAAGTCTCAGAGCTGATTTGAGTATCATGAAATTAATGGAATAAAAATTAATTTAGCAGATATTTTATATGAAATATAATTTTATAATTTTAATGATTTTTTTAACAAATATTTTTTAACAAATTATAGCAAAAAAGATTGAAAATCAGAAATTATAATAAATTGAAAATAAAATTTGTTGAAAATAATTTTTTTGAACACATTTGATACTTCTAAAAAAATAAAAAAATTGAGATGTATAACTATACAGCTAAATTCAATGTCATGATAATTTTAAGAATTTTTTAAACAATTAAATTATGACAAAAAAAATTGACGTGTAGAAATATTAAAAAATAAAAAATGCAATTTTTTAAAAATAATTTTAGGAAACAAATTAATTTATTGAAAAAAAAAATAAAAAATCGCCAAGTAGCTACTATATAACTTTAATATTATATATTATTTTAAAAATCATTTTTATAATAAAATTGAATGATTATAAAAATTTGAAAAATAGTTAGATCGATTTTAATTTAATTACTAGAAACTTTACAATCACTATGTGACTGCAATGAATTGTAAACTATAAATAAAAAAGAATTTCGCTTTAATTAATAATGACTTTTGTTAAATTGCACTGTAATTACTTAAATATTGATGTTTTTAAAGATATAAGCTCATCATGATGTTACACTCATCAAGAGCTTTCATTTGAGTACCCACATGGCATTTTTTATATATTTCATATATATAGTATTTGTGAAATATATAAATATATAAAATATATGAAAAAATGATGTAGGTACTCAAATGAAAGGTCTCGATGAGTGAAACATCGAAATGAGCTTATATCTTTGAAAATGTCAATATTTCTTAAGATAAAAGGTCACTACTTCTTAATTATTGACATTTATTTAAGATATAAACTCATTTTGATGTTACACTCATCCAGACCTGTTATTTAAGTACCCACATGACAATTTTTATATATTTTATATATATGGTATTTGTGAAATATATAAATATATAAAATATATGAAAAATTGATGTAGGTACTCAAATGAAAGGTCTCGATAAGTGTAACATCAGGATGAGCTTATATCTTACAAAATGTCAATATTTCACAAGATACAAGGTCACTTGTTAATTATTGACATTTTTTAAGATATAAACTCATTTTGATGTTACACTGATCAAAAGCTTTCATTTGAGTACCCACATGCATTTTGATATATTTATCATATATACATATATACAATATATATAAATTAAATCCTAATATAAAATTGAGATGAAATGTATGTGAAACCAATTTATTCTTGATGTAATTGGTTGAAAATAAATATTCTCATTCTGATTGGTTGAAAGTGAATATAATATACATAAACGACACATAAATATATCATGACAATAAATATGAGGCGCGCGCTTGCGCGCGTAAATTAAATTCTAGTCCTAATATAAAATTGAGATGAAATGTATGTGGCATCAAACTATTCGTAACGTGATTGGTCGAATATATCATAAGCATGAAAATATATGTAAACTCTATAGTCAAGGCGCGCGCTTGCGCGCGTAAATTTAAATTCTAGTATATGAAAAATTGATGTGGGTACTCAAATGAAAGGTCTCGATGAGTGTAACGTCGGAATGAGCATATATCTTCAAAAACGTCAATATTTCACAAGATACAAGGTCATTTTTTAATTATCCATCTAGAGATACAGAATTTTTGAATGCAGCATAAATAATCATAATAAAGTGACTACCGATAAGAATAATATGAAATCTTGAAAAGGCAATTATTTAAATCAAGACCTTTGCAATGACACTAAATTTCTCTTAAAAAAAACCGATTTTATCATATGAATATCCAAGAAACAAAATTTTTCTTATCCTCTTAATAATATAAATTACAAATTTTTACCTTTCAAAAAATTAAAAAAATGTAATTTTTTAATCTTTCACCATTAAAAACAAATAAAGTACACTGAAATTTGAATTATTTATGCTTTACAGATGGCGCTGTAATAACTTTCTAACAAAAACAAACTTTAGATGACTCGAATAAATCCGAAGTTAGCCGAGCTCTCAAAACAGATTTCACGGCCAAAATGGTGGGTATTTATTACTCAAGGCGTCCTGGACTTTGGTGAATGTTGATATACCTCAAAGCTACCGCAATTATTAATTAATACACGTGTTTTTAAAATAAAAATGATATAACGCCTTATCATATGTTATAAGTGTTATTTATGTTCTTGGTTAAATAAATTTTATTTAATTATCAGATAATTATAAACTTTAAACTTAGGTTTTGGTCCACTGAAAAGTACCTAATAAATCAAACGCGCATTTACGTCTGTTGAGAGTAAAGTTGAAATTAAATTAATTTAACGACAATAATGGGAGACTTGACAGAAATAAAGATGAATATGGCAGCTTTGAAACGCGTTGATCCCTATATCAAGGATATTTTAGAGACAGCAACGCATGTGGCTCTTTATAAATTTAATGCGGAGAACAATGAATGGGAGAAGACTGATATCGAGGGTGCATTGTTTGTTTATTCGAGAAACGGCGAACCCTACAATAGTATCCTTATTATGAATCGGTATGTATTAAAACCACATTTTTATTAAATTTAACTAGCAACCTTGCAGTCACTATGTGACTGCATTGACGTGAACTGTAAATAAATATAATTTTGCATTATTAAATAATGAATTTTGTTAAATTGCACTGCACTTTCTTAAATATTGACATTTTTTAAAATATAAGCTCATCCTGATGTTATACTCAGCAAGAGCTTTCATTTGAGTACCCACATGGCATTTTTTATATATTTTATATATATATAGTATTTGTGAAATATATAAATATATAAAATATATATGAAAAATTGATGTGGGTACTCAAATGAAAGGTCTTGATGAGTGTAACGTAAGAATGAGCTTATATCTTTAAAAATGTCAATATTTCTCAGGATACAAGGTCATTTCTTAATTATTGATATTTTTAAAGATATAAACTCATCCCGATGTTACACTCATCAAGAGCTTTCATTTGAGTACCCACATGCACTTTTATATATTTTTCATATATACATATATATAATATATATAAATATATAAAAAATTGATGTGGGTACTCTAATGAAAGGTCTCAATGAGTGTAATGTCGAAATGAGCTTATATCTTGAAAAATGTCAAAAGTTCACAAGATAAAAGATCACATCTTAATTATTGACATTTTTAAAGAAGTAAGCTCATTTCGATGTTACACTCATCGAGATCTTTTGTTTGAGTACCCACATGCATTTTTATATATTTTTCATATATACATATATATCATATATATAAATATATGAAAAATTGATGTGGGTACTCAAATGTAAGGTCTGAATGAGTGTAATGTCGAAATGAGCTTATATCTTGAAAAATGTCAAAAGTTCACAAGATAAAAGGTCAGATCTTAATTATTGACATTTTTAAAGAAATAAACTCATTTCGATGTTACACTCATCGAGAACTTTTATATGAGTACCCACATGACATTTTTTATATATTTTATATATATGGTATTTGTGAAATATATAAATATATAAAAAATTGATATGGGTACTCAAATGAAATCTCGATGAGTATAATATCAGGACGAGCTTGTATCTTTTAAAATGTCAGTAGTTGACAAGATATAAGGTAATTTCTTAATTATTGATATTTTTCTAAAGATATAAGCTCATCTTGATGTTACACTCATTGAGACTTTTTATTTGAGTACTCGCATGGCATTTTTTATATATTTTATACATATGGTATTTATAAAATATATAAGTATATAAAATATATGAAAAATTCATGTGGGTACTTAAATGAAAGCTCTTGATGAGTGTAACATCGGGATGAGCTTATATCTTAAATAATGTTGATAGTTCGCAAGATACAAGGTCATTTCTTAATTAAGTATCTAAAATTAAGTCTGCCGACATTTGAAAATTTTTATTGAAAAAAATTATGAAAAAAAAATTTGACATGTAGAAAATTTAAAAAATTATAATTGCAATTTTTTTACTCATAATTTTTATTCATGAAAAATTTTTCATTTTAGTATTATAATTACTTAATTAATTAATTCTTCATTTATAATTATTTTAATTAATATAAAAATTAATTTAACAAATACTTAATAATTTTTGTAACAAATAAATCATAGAAAAAAAAATGAAATTTCTATTAAATAAAAATCATTTTAAAATGAATAAATGCAAGTAATTAACTAATGAATTTTATTTTATCTATTACAGACTAAATACCAATAATTTAGTGGAACCTGTCACACAGAGGCTTGATCTCGAGCTCCAAGAACCATTTTTACTCTACAGGAATTCAAAATATAACATTTACGGTATTTGGTTTTACGACAAGGACGAGTGCATACGTATTGCGGCTATTTTAAAACAGCTTGTAAAGCATTCTGACGAAAACTTAAAGAAAGTTAATACAAGTTTGAAGAATAAAAAACAAGTCATTAATAAAGCCAGTGACTCTTTCAATAACGTTGATATATTTAGCATGCTCAGCAAAGCTCAAGAAAATTTCAATACTTCCAGAGAGAGCAATGGTAATCATGATATTAATTTGAATTCTGATGGAATTTCTGATGATATCAATACTTTTTCTCATTCAGGAACTGGTATTACAACTGGTGGAATGTTTGATGGAACTTCTCAAAGTGTTGTTGATTTCTTTGCCAAAGCCAAGGTAATATTATTCACTATTTTTTATTTTCATATTTAGCTTATGGTCATTTAGTAAACACAATATAGTTTTATAATTTATTTATTTATTTATTTATTTATTTTATAATGCCAAGGCCGTTGCCAAATGCCGAAGTTTACAAAATAATTTTTGCATTAGTGGATACAATAATAAAAAATTCAGAATTTAATGAAGATAACAATAAAGAGACTTATGATTGATTATAATATTATTTAAATATAATTTTAACAAGATTTAATATTGATATAATAACTGTAGATATACAGCCAATCATAATAACAATATGATTATTATTAATACATTAATAGAGAGGACAATAATAAGTAACTTAATTTAAATGTCTAGCTCCATTAAATAATCAAACTATTTGGTTTTAAAGACCTCAATACTGAAAGCACCAATAATATCAGGTGTAATAATCTATATTTTGTTATTAAAGAATATATCTTGTGAACTGATGATATTGTTGAAGATATAAGCTAATCCCGATGTTACACTCATCGAGACCTTTCATTTGAGTACCCACATCAATTTTTCATATATTTATATATGTATAATATGAAAAATATATCAAAATGCATGTGGGTACTCAAATGAAAGGTCTTGATAAGTATAACATCGGGATGAGCTTATATCTTAAAAAATGTCAATATTTCACAGGAGAAAAGGTCATTTCTTATTGATTGACATTTTTAAAGATATAAGTTCATTCTGATATTACAATCATCAAGAGCTTTCATTTGAGTACCCACATGCATTTTGACATATTTTTCATATATACATATATATAAATATATAAAATATATAAAAAATTGATGTGGGGACTCAAATGAAAGGTCTCAATAAGAGTAATGTCGGGGTGAGCTTACATCTTTAAAAATGTCAATAGTTAACAAGATACAAGGTCATTTCTCAACAATTGATATTTTTAAAGATGTAAGCTCATTCCGATATTACAATCATCAATAGCTTTTATTTGAGTACCCACATGCATTTTGATATATTTTTCATATGTACATATATATAAATATATAAAATATATGAAAAATTGATGTGGGGACTCAAATGAAAGGTCTCAATGAGTGTAACATCGGGATGAGCTTATATCATTAAAAATGTTGATAGCTTACAAGATACAAGGTCATTTCTTAATTATTGACATTTTGATAGATACAAGCTCATTCCGATGTTACACCGATCGAGACCTTTCATTTGAGTACCCACATGGCATTTTTCATATATCTTATATATATGGTATTTGTGAAATATATAAATCTATAAAATATATGAAAAATTGATATGGGTACTCAAATGAAAGGTCTCGATGAGTGTACCATCAAGATGAGCTTATCTATTTAAAAATGTCAAGAGCTCCCAAGATACAAGGTCATTTCTTAATTATACTAATAATTAAAAAATCTCTTTTTTCAGGTAAATACGGGCCATTTCAAACCGGAGCATCAACAGCCTCCAGGAAACGTTCACGTTGCCGTAGAGAAGCCTATATCCTTATCTCACCTAATGTCTCACCCAGCGGCACACACTCTAGAGCACATAGAAAAACAGCAGCGTTCCATCACCCCCCAATCTACGGGAATTCCTTCCATAGTCCCACCATCGACTGTGCCAATCGCAGTGAACTTGATGAAGAACGGAACTCCATCAAGTAAAACGAAAAAGCACGCATGTTCCGACTCTGGACTAGCAGCATCATCCCAAATGCTTCAACATCCAAAATCAAGTGCAAGCAATGACGTGATAGTCGCTAAAAGTTTTCATAGAATACAATCACCTTTAACAGGAGGTCCAACAAATAATACAATAATAAATCACAATACTCCAGGACAAAATTACAGGCATTCAATTTTCTCAATGGACACTCCGCTTGATTGTAATAAAGTAATTAAAAATGAAAAGCCAAGTGCTGGAAAAACTCTGACGGATATTTCAGCATTGCCTTTAGGATTTTCTTCACTAGATTTAGACGACAAGTCAATTGAATCTGAGGAAGCTCAAGTTGGAATTCGTGGATTTGGTACCAATGCTCCGGCGTTGATGCCTCCCGTGATGTTTTCTGCTACCAGTCCCTCCGAGTCAACTCGACCAATTATTGAACCTCTCACTCGAAATCAATTACTCCAAGCGTTTAATTATCTTCTTAAAAATGATTCGGATTTTATGATGAAATTACACGACGCCTACGTTAAATCTTTTAGCGAAATTTATTCGTAAAATTTAAATAAAAATGTTCGGAGTAATTATTTAATAAAAAAAAATGGCGAGCAGGATAATAAATAAAAAATTATTATATTAAAATGTCTTTATTGACTTGTTAAAAATATAGTTTTTTATAACGTGATTTATTATCCAGTTAATAACTTTCGCGCCGATTCGTTTTAATCTGTGATGCAAGAATTTTTTTTCTTTATCCATCATCATATATAAAAAAAAAAATACGTCCCAAAATCTATTTTTTTAAATAAACAATAGAAAAATCATTGAAATTTATTGGAAAGACGAGTTGTCCATTTGTTTTTAAGCTACAATTGGGGCTGTAAAAATAAGGAATAAATATTAGTAACTTTAAATTGATGTTTTATGCGGTAAAAAAATATGAATTTTTTTTTCAAGTTGTAAATTGGATTTCTTAAAAAAAAAAAATTAATTTTAAACAGTAAAATGGTTATTAATCTTATAAAAAAATTTTGTAATTATTTACAAGTTAAGTCTACAATATTTTTGGGAATATCTTGGTGGAAAAAAAACATTTTTTAATTTTTTTTTATTCTACTTTTTTTTTACGGAATTTATTATAAAAAATTTCCTGAAAGAAAAAAAAAATTTCAATATTTTTGACTTAAAAAATTGGAAAAAATTTCGGCTGATTTCTTTCAGACCACCCATTTCTGTGTGTCCTTATTTATAACATTATTATTATGTTTTATGTTATGTATATTTCAGTGTCTCTTGCAGAAGAAGCATACACCCATGACCCTTACTCGGAAGTCATTGCTCCTTGCGGTGGGCGGTGAGACTGCGCGGAAAATGCGTTGTTTTAAATTTATGATAACCACATTACTTGTGAGTATACTGATCTAACGGAATATATTAAAAAACTAGTACTTTGAATTTTCTGAACAGGTCTAAGATTTTTGTCGAAAATATCAGTCGTAAAAAAAAGTTTTGAGAAATTTAATTTTCTACAAGATACAGCTCGGATAATTTTTTTTACGGTCGTAATTTCTCAATTAACATTTATAATAAATGATTCGAATTTTGGCTAATTATAAAAATTTTAATTTTTAAATTGCGGCTTTTTTATTGGTCTTATGAAAAAATTATAAGAGAAATTTTTTTATACAATTAAATTTTCAAATCATTAAAATTTTTTTATCAGTATAATATTAATTACTATTTTACTGTTTATAATTCAAATAAATTTTTTATGAAAAAGATGTTAAAAATTTAATTTTATAAAAAAAAATTTCTCTTATAATTTTTATAGAATTTAATTAGTAAAAATTTAAATTTTGAAATTGATTTTTTTTATAAAATCAAATTTTCAATAATTTTAATTTAAAACATTTTTTGATAAGACTAAATATTTTCGCTGAAATATCCAAAAATTGACAATTAATCATCACTTATTATTTTGAAATTAAAAATTATTGTTAGCATACTTTGTATAAAAAATTTTCACTCATACATCATTCAATTATTTGATTTTAAATAAAAAAAAAAAAAATGATTATTTAAACATTTTTTTTACCGCAACTTGAATAAAAAATAAAAAAATAGGTAAAAAAAAAAATTGTATGTATAAATACTTGAAAGACTTACTCATGTGGATAGCATTTGGCTGTGGAGCGGCCAATTGCATTTTTATATGAGACGTTGACAATAGAATATCCGTTGTCGGTATAACATGAATTGATATTTCATTTAATTCATCATTAATTCTAGTACCACTTAATGAAGGTACTTGTAAATTATTACTAGTTGTCCTTAAATTAAAACCATAACGACAATTACTGACTATGTAAGTGCTAATCTGTGAAAAAATATAATTAAAAATTTACCATCATTCTAATTTCATTTTAGATTTTTTTTTTTTTATTATTAATTCCAGTAAATTACATAATAATAATAATTAAAATAATAATAACACTAATAATAATAATAATCTATATTATTAAGAGAATAAAAAAAATTTTGTGTCCAGGATAGTCATATGATAAAATCGGCTTTCATATTATTTTTATCGATAGTTAATTTATTATGATAAGTATTTAGGCTGCATTAAAAAATTCTCTATCTCTAGATACATAACTAAGAAATGACCTTGTATCTTGTGAACTATTGACATTTTTAAGGATATAAGCTCGTCCCGATATTATACTCATCGAGAGCTTTCATTTAAGTACCCAAATCAATTTTTTATATATTTATATATTTCACATATACCATATAAATCAAATATATAAAAAAATTTCATGTGGGTACTCAAACAAAAGGTCTCCATGAATGTAACATCGAAATGAGCTTATTTCTTTAAAAATGTCAATAATTAAGATATGACCTTTTATCTTGTGAACTTTTGACATTTTTCAAGATATAAGCTCATTTCGACATTACACTCATTGAGATCTTTCATTTGAATACCCATATCAGTTTTTTTATATATTTATATATATAATATATATGTATATATGAAAAATATATGAAAATGCATGTGGGTACTCAAATGAAAGCTCTTGATGAGTGTAACATTGGGATGAGCTTATATCTTTAAAAATGTCAATATTTAAAAAATAGCCTTGTATCTAGTGAACTATTGACATTTTTAAATATATAAGCTCACCCTGACATTACACTCATCGAGACCTTTTATTTGAGTACCCACATCAATTTTTCATATATTTCATATATTTGTATATATTATATATATGAAAATATGAAAAATATATCAAAAATGCATGTGGGTACTCAAATGAAAGCTATTGATGAGTGTAACATTATAGTGAGCTTATATCTTTAATAATGTCAACAGTTCACAAGATCCGAAGTCGTTTCTTAATTATTGATAATTAGTTTCTAATCTATGTATGAATAATTATTTCAGACTCACCACTTGGCCTGCATTGGAGGTGGTGATGAATTCAAAGGTGTTAACTGCAAAATCTTCACAGACCCCCACCCCATGACAATGGCGTTGTCTGTACTTGTAACTATTGAAATGTTGAACGCAATGAACAGGTATTTTATTTTTTTAATTGAAAAAAATTTCAGGTGATTTATTATTTTAAATAATTTTATTATCAAATATTTTTCTTTGTTTAGTTTGTCTGAGAACCAGTCATTGATCACTATGCCACCATGGTCGAATATGTGGCTCATTGCCTCCATGGCACTTTCATATGAGCTTATATCTTTAAAAATGTCAATAGTTCACAAGATACAAGGTAATTTCTTAATAATTGACATTTTTTAAGGTATAAACTCATCCTGATATTATATACTCATCAAGAGCTTTCATTTAAATACCTACATGCATTTTTGATATATTTTTCATATATACATATATGTAATATATATAAATATATGAAAAAAAGATGTGGGTACTCAAATGAAAGCTCTTGATGAGTGTAACATTGAGATGAGCTTATATCTTTTAAAATGTCAATATTTAAGAAAGTACAGTGCAATTTAACAAAAGTCATTATTTAATAAAGCATAATTTTATTTGTTTATAATTCACAAATCACGGCAGTCACATAGTGACTGCAAGGTTGCTAATAATAAAAATAATAATAATAATAATAAATATAGTATAAGATCTTACAGATGATAAAATAAGGAAAATAAGTAAAGCTATACCAAGCCAGAAGTACCAAGCTTCCCAAAAATGTTTCGGAGGACGTCTCTGTATTAAAAGACAACACTGTGGATTGCAACAGCAATAAAGACAATAAGATTTTTCAGCTGGACACATGTATGTTCGTATGTTTGATTCATAATTTGTATCATTTAATTTTATATCATCATTACATTCGTAAGCAAACCGTGCCATTTTTTATTTTTTCTTTTTATAATATTAAAAAAATTCTTAGAATTTTTTTATTAACTAATATTCATTTTTTAAATAAACTATTTTGGATTTCTTCAGCTTAAGAAGAAGAATGCACTAGTTATTGGCTCGTAGCAAGCACCACTGTGCTCGCGAGTAGAGTAAAATAGACGTTATCTGCTTCATAGTTTACCTGGTATAACAATCAATAACCTGTTCAACCATTTATTTACACCAGTTCAATCAATATTAGACTATGTTTTCATTCTCTACTTTTATCCCACAGTTAGAAATTTTTTTCTTCTAGGATAAAAGCTCAAAATTTATTTTTTATTCTATTCTTACAAAAAAAATGATATATCAGTAGTAATATTCTTAAACTTAAAGATTTTTTAAATTTTAACATTTTTTTTTAATCTATTTCATTTTTTGTAAAAATAAATATACTGAAGACCAAAGTATGTACTAGTTCTAAATAATAAATTTTAATAAATAAATAACGAGTTCTAAATAAGATCAATCTATCGATTATTTTCACTCAACTGAATGAATCGATACTTTTTCTTACTTTATAATTTATTTCTTTGGTTTTTTATTAAAATAAAGGCTCTCACAAATTTTACAAAAAAAAATTAGAAAAACGGTTGATCTTGAATGTTTTTTTAAGATATAAGCTCATCTCGTTGTTACTCTCATCAAGAGCTTTCATTTGAGTACCCACATCAATTTTTCATATATTCTATATATATTGACAAATATATATAAATATATGAAAAATATATTAAAATGTATGTGGGTACTCAAATAAAAGGTCTTGATGAGTGTAACATCAAAATGAGTTTATGTCTTAAAAAATGTTAATAATTCAAAAATGACCTTGTAATTAGTCAACTGGTGACATTTTTAAAGATATAAGTTCATCCCGACATTATACTCATCGAGACCTTTCATTTGAGTACCCACATGCATTTTTGATATATTTTTCATATATACATATATATAAATATATGAAAAATTGATGTAGGTACTTAAATGAAAGATATTAAACTTATTTATTTATTTAGTTTTTATAAATAATAATATTCATTTCTTATAATTATAACACCGGCACACAAAAAAAAATTAAGTAGAATGTGCATTTGACCGGACCTACCTATGGGTACGTATTTTGGTCCGCTGAATCCGAATTCGAGGTCACTTTGACCCCTACACAGTTATGAATGGTAATTTTTACAATTTTTTCGAATTTTTCCAGCTTTAGAGGGTGAATAGACTAAAAAAATTAAGATGCGAATTGAAGACATCAAAAGATATAAAATTTTATCTGAGTTGGACCAGAAGAAGTTTTTTTATCATGAAAACTATATTTTTTCGGAATTTTCGAGAGTTTTGTGTGATTTTTTCACATTTAAAATGGCTCGTGGTCTCAATAAAGTTTCGATTCATATTCAGCGGATCGAACTACATGAAAATCACGCTTAGTTTAGTTCCAAAACATTTTTTTATCATTAAAACTGCCAATTTTCATCATTTTTACGGTTTTTTGAAGTTTTCTCGAAATTTCGAGGGTGTAGGGGTCAAACTGACCTTGAATTCGGATTCAGCGGACCAAAATACGTACCCGTAGGTAGGTCCGGTCAAATGCACATTCTACTTAATTTTTTTTGTGTGCCGGTGTTATTCATTATTTTTACATAATTGTTGATAATTTTTTTATATTATAAATTTTTTAGTAATTATTTAAATATTTTCTATTGTTTAGTTGTTAATTTCTATTTTTAATAATTATTTAAATATTTCTTATTTAAGTTAATGTTATTTATTAATTTGTTGCTTCTTCAAAATTATTTTATTTTAAAAGTTTTAAATTTATTTTTTTCTTAAATTTAATTGTCAGACAAATTTCCGTTTAAAAATCGCTTAAGTGATACTCTGTGTAAATTTAAAAGCAATTGATTTTTAATTACTGAGTCCTATTCTTAAGCTGCATGTAATTGAGAAATTATATTTCTATTGTTAGATAAATTTCAAAACACTTAACTTGTAATTATTGTAATCAAATGTTACAGAAATTCTGCGAAGTCCTTCTCTGACTCTTTGTTAATTGTCAAATTTTATGTCCCTTTTAATTGTTCTGTCTAGGTAGAATCATGCAACTTTTCATTAGGTATACTTCCATTCACATCGAATGGAGCTAAGGAATTTGAAAAATTTTTATTTTAAAGATTTTTTTAGCCGGGTTAAAACAAAAAAAAAAAAACAGTAAGAATAGTGAGAAAATTTTCAATCAGTTGCTATTTTTTTAAAAATTAAAATTTTAAAAATTCCGTACGTGCGACGATAACTACATCCTTACTGATTAAAAAGCAATTTGGGTTTTTATTTTCAGATGATCCGTTTTTGAGTTATCAAACCGACCATAGAGGGGGAAATTTTTTTTAGTGCTCTACGAGATTGTTAATAACTTTGTAATAATTAAATATTTCTTAATAAAAATTTAGAGTAATAATCTTTAATGCACCCTTAATAAAATAAAAAAAATCCGATCCCCAAATTCCTTTATTTTCCCTGTCAAAAAAACTCCCGAAAATTACCTCTTTTTTTCGATCGTCACAGTGGTGTTCCCCCTTAAAATGTTCTCACGCTTTTAAAAGTTGTGCTGGAGTATCATGTACGAATTCAGAAGCTTCAGCAATCTCTACATCAGGAGCAGACGATTTCGATTCTGATAATGATTGCTTGGACACTGAAAACACGGATACAAACGAAGAAGAAGAGTTACGAGATCTTACCGAAATTCTGGATAACAACGAAAGTTCTGATAGTTCTGACGATGAAATTTAAATTTAAATTTATTTTAATGTATTTTTGAATTAGCATTTTTTTTATTGTTACTGCTTTTATTGTAAATTGTAATAAACCAATTGTTAAAATTAATAAATAATATACATGCTCTAATTTATTTAAAATTTGATTATACTAAAAAAATGTATAGCATTTGATTATAAAAATATTTCTTAATAAAATTAAAAATAAGAATTTCTTAATTAATTTTTAATTATTGATGTAAAAATTTTAAAACTATTTAATTTTTTTCTTTGAATAAAAATATAGTTCACTGAAAAAGTTTGGAGTTATTTCTCAGCATTTGAATTTGAGTAAGTGCGCGCGCGTGCTGCGTATGCGCAATACAACTTTCGACGCCAAACTATATGGCGGATGTACAAAAACATTACCTTGCGGAGAAAATTAATTAACTTTTAGATAATTAAAGATTTATAGCACGTAGGAGTCTACTGATTGAATTATTTTATCCATTAGTCTTAATTACATACTACTACGAAGGATTTTTTCATCTGGGTACTACAGTTGATCATATATTTGCTTAAAACTACAATTTTGACCGTTTTGTTATAAAAAAAATAGACTCGCAGCGTACTTTTTTGTTGGATTTTTTCGAATGTCGTAGTTTTAGCATATTTTGAATCATTTTGTGAAAGAAATTTCTTGTTAGGAATTTTTACCAAGTAAGGTCTTTATTTTGCCTCTTCTCAACTGGACTATTACACTAGGCGGGTACTTGGATCTCCTTAAAAAAATATATTTATTAAAAACTATCTAATTATTTATTTCTGATGATCAAAAAAGTGCTCATCCTTATTTCCAAGTAATTTTTTTTATTTCAAAATTTATAGAATGAAATATTTATTAGTCAAACTTTTCTTAAAATGGATAGAAAAATTGAATTGACTTCAAATTTTAATATATAGAAAATAAATAAAAATAAATATTTAGTATTGTTGATCATGAGGAGGAGGTGGTGGTGGAGGGCCACGAGGAGGAAAAGGTGGCCGAAATTGCGGAGGTTGTACATTAGGCATCGGAGCATTTTGTGACACTGGAGGAGGAGGATGCCGCCAAGTAGGAGGTGGAGGTCTAGGTGGCGGAGGTTGAAATTGTCCGAATTGATTAACAGCGACATTGGAGGGCATACCAGGCGCTTGACCGAATTGACCTTGATGAGGTGGCCAATGGGACGGCGGCGGTGGGGGCGGTGGAGGCGCAATCATTCTGTGCCCTTGGCCTTGAGACGTAGGAATAGGCATTGGCGGAAGTGGAGGCGGCATTCCAGGTGGGAGTGGAGGATGAGCGGACATTCCCATCGGTGGCAAAGGAGGCGCTGGGATGTTAGCTGGATTAAATCCACCTGGCGGAGCGGGGACTGGTGGAGGTGCTGGAGGATGATGACCCATCGCTGTCATTGGTGTCACCGGTGGAGGCGGTGGTGGAACTACCATCCCGTGGTGCATCACATGGTGTGGTGGGTGATGATGTTGGCCACCCATCGGCATCGGTGCTATCGGTGGAGCGTCTGCGAAGAGTTGATGAGGACGGTCCGCTTGACTCAATGGGTTTTGGGCTGCTAGCAATCGCTCCGCTGCACTTCCGTGGCGCTCACCCTTGGCATCGCGTTTGAACGCGTATGACACTGATATTGGACGGTTGCATAGGTATTGACCGTTCATTGCTTCTATGCTGGCGTCTGAGGCGTCAAATGAGGCGAAGTTTATGAATGCAAATCCTTTCGAATTTCCAGTCTCAGGATCTCTCATTATCTGGTGAAGAATAAAGATTTTAATTAATTTACTTAAGTTTATAATTGTATCTAGTAAAAGCTCTAATTACATTGCTATCAAGTACTTCAACAAACTACCATATGACCTTAAAAATCTGGATAGTAGCAAAAAGTCAATTAAAAATAAATATTACAAATTAATATTTAATGTAAAACCATTTATGATCTTCGAATAAACATCAATTACATTATTTCTTTGTAATTTACAATATTTAGAATACTGAAATTAACAGACATTAACAATTTTTGAAATTTTTATAACAGATCAACAATTATAAAAAAAAATTTTTCTTAACTTCACATTTATAATTGTTAAAAATTTCTTCTTGTGGAGTTTTTTTCGTTATATTTTAATTGTTATAAAAATCTAAAAAAATTTTAGATGTCTTCTAAATTCAGTATCATCAATATATAAGCTTTCAGAATTTTTTTTTTAATTCATTATATCTAAGATTAATCTGATAAAGAAAAACTTTCAAAAATAATACTAAAATTACTTGAAAAAAAATTTGAGTAATTTGTTAAAAAAAACTTCTCATATATTTTATGAAACTTCTTTACTTATTATTTATAACTAATAAATTATTAAAAATTTTAATTTTCCAAGCTTAATTTGTATAACAGATCAATTATTACTAAAAAAAATTTTTTTTTCAATTTCTTCTTGTGGAATTTTTTTTTTTTTAATTTTTTTCATTATAATTTATTTTTTATAAAAATCCAAAAAATTTTTAGATGTCTGCTAAATTCACTACCATTCTTAATAAATTGTCAATTTTAATCTTATGCTCAAATTGTCGATATGCTTTAATGAATTCCAATTAATACTGGCCAATTAATTAATTTTTTTTTCTTCAATTATAAATACCGTCATAACTCGATGAAAATTTTATAGAAAAATTCAAAAGATACAAGATCAATTCCGGGTATCACCAAGACAATTTTAATTAAAAGTTGGTAATTATACGTCACTATTACAGTAAAGGCAAACGCAGTCTTACCATTGCGACCATTTACAATATAAAAATATTATCCTTTGATTATCTCTTGATAACTATAGTAAACTGTACAAAAATTCTATCCAATTTATTGATTCATTACTATTATATAATTAATTAATTAATTACTTAATCAATATGTGCTCGGTATTCTGTTTAAAAAAACGATCGTCTGCTGTAAAAAATTTTTGCACGTGTTATTGTTTATTAAAAGACTTAATTACGTTAATAAGTCTAAAAAAATTTTTATAATAATGAAACTTAGCGCCGACAGACTCCATCACAGCTCTATTAGTAACCACATCCGTACAAGGAATGTTAAATACAAACCTTCTGTATTTGATAATTCTTTGATATTACTTAAAAAAAAAAAAAAAATTGTACTAACTTTTAAAAAATTACATTCATAATTCTTCAGAATTTCTACGCGTAGAATTTTGTTTTTCAATTTTTTGTACAATAATTTGTTAAAAAAATATTCATTTTAAAAATTTTCTCCATGTATTTTATAAAACTTCAGTTTTGCTAATTATTTATGCCTAATTAATTATTAAAAGTTTTAATTTTTCAAGCTCAAACTATTAATTTTTTGAACGTTTACTAATTAATTTTAAAAGTATATTAGATTAAAATTAATTTAGCAGATGTTTGATAATTTTAAGAATTTTTTTAATAAATAAATTGTGGAAAAAAAATTAACGCAGAAATTTTAATAAATTAAAAATGCAATTTTTTAAAAATAATTTTTCGGAATAAATTTGTTTGTTAAATAAAGTAAAAAAAATGGTAAAATGACAGCTAACTTTAATATTATATATATTTAGCAAAAAAAAACAATTACCTTAGGTGTCTGAAGAATGACTCCAAAAGCACTGAAAGTATCATACAGCAATTTTTCATCGACTTCTGGATCAAGATTACCAATGAATATATTAGCCCCGACATCAAGATTTTTCTGGTGTGCACTTGCTTTGTTAACTCTTATAGGCTTCCCGTATAATTTAATCATATTCATGATTTTAATCGCATAGTCGGCATCCTCTTCTCCCATGAATTCAACAAAACCATAACCTTGATGCATTTGAGTGACCCGGTCTTTCGGCATGTGAACATTTACTATTAAACAAAAAAGTAAGTAACTTATAGAACTTATTACTTTAATTTAAAAAAAAAAAAAAAAAATCATTGTATTGTTTTTTTTTTAATTTACCTACGGGTCCAGATTGAACAAATAATTCCCACATAAGAGATTCTGTAACTTTGTCATCAAGACCGCCGACATATATCGTTGCATCTAAAAAAATAAAATTAATTTTTTAAATTATTTATTAATTATTAATTACGCTAATAAAAAATTTATAAATTGATTAATTACCTTGATTTCTTTCAGCAATAGGCCCGGCTGCCATAATTTGTTTATTTTATTATATAAATTATATTTATATAGTAATTTATGTATCTAAGTGTTAAAAATTGTAGGTTATAAAAACATTCACAAAACGTATTCGAGTCGAGTGTTCTTTTATATATTTAACTTGGGTATAGTAATCATAGTAATGGTAAGTTTTAGATTCGGCCGCTGTACTGAGTGGTGGAGTAGTTATAGTCACCTAGGGTCGGTGTTCCGTTTTTTATAGTTTAATTTATTATTTATTCCTTGCAATAAGCATCACAAAAAAAAACGGTGTTCCGTTTTTCCGAATTTAATTTTTTTTCTTCTTTCAAATAACCCCATATAAAAACGGTGTTCCGTTTTTTGAAGTTTAATTTCTTCGCTTATTTTTTGCATCAGAATTAAAAACGGTGTTCCGTTTTTACGTACATTTTTTTAGATAACTGGAAGTCCGTTTTTCCGAGTTTAATTTCTTTTCTTATTTTTTGCAATAATAAACACAAATAAAAACGGTGTTCCGTTTTTTATAGTTTAATTTATTATTTATTCCTTGCAATAAGCATCACAAAAAAAAACGGTGTTCCGTTTTTCCGAATTTAATTTTTTTTCTTCTTTCAAATAACCCCATATAAAAACGGTGTTCCGTTTTTTGAAGTTTAATTTCTTCGCTTATTTTTTGCATCAGAATTAAAAACGGTGTTCCGTTTTTACGTACATTTTTTTAGATAACTGGAAGTCCGTTTTTCCGAGTTTAATTTCTTTTCTTATTTTTTGCAATAATAAATACAAATAAAAACGGTGTTCCGTTTTTTATAGTTTAATTTATTATTTATTCCTTGCAATAAGCATCACAAAAAAAAACGGTGTTCCGTTTTTCCGAATTTAATTTTTTTTCTTCTTTCAAATAACCCCATATAAAAACGGTGTTCCGTTTTTTGAAGTTTAATTTCTTCGCTTATTTTTTGCATCAGAATTAAAAACGGTGTTCCGTTTTTACGTACATTTTTTTAGATAACTGGAAGTCCGTTTTTCCGAGTTTAATTTCTTTTCTTATTTTTTGCAATAATAAATACAAATAAAAACGGTGTTCCGTTTTTTATAGTTTAATTTATTATTTATTCCTTGCAATAAGCATCACAAAAAAAAACGGTGTTCCGTTTTTCCGAATTTAATTTTTTTTCTTCTTTCAAATAACCCCATATAAAAACGGTGTTCCGTTTTTTGAAGTTTAATTTCTTCGCTTATTTTTTGCATCAGAATTAAAAACGGTGTTCCGTTTTTACGTACATTTTTTTAGAAAACTGGAAGCCCGTTTTTTCAAGTTTAATTTCTTTGTTTATTCTTTGATACAAATTACAATTAAAAACGGTGTTCCGTTTTGACTTAAATTTTTTTAAAAACCTGAAAGCCCGTTTTTCCAAATTTAATTTTTTCCCTTATTCTTTGCAATAAAAAAGAATATAAACGGTATTCCGTTTTTCCAAGTTTTATTGCTTTGCTTACTCTTTGCAATGATAATTAACTTGCAAAGTTTTTTACATTTTTTTTGCACAATAATTATTATATACTATAGAACATTCTTTCGTTAATTACAAAGGATAATTAAAAAAAAAAAAAAGTGTTCCTGATTTCGGAATACCTGTTGAATTCTCTTTTCCAATCTTTCTCTTTTCTAATCCTCTTTTCTATCTTATTATTCCTAGTCTATTGTGATAAATTTTCAGAGAGTAAAAATACATTTTAACAATATCCTTTTTTTCTAATAGCTAAAAGTCTAGACCTAGGTTGTGGGGCTTTCCCAAAAGTTTCCTTATTATAAAAATAAAGCCCCACAACCTAGGTCTAGACTTTTAGCTATTAGAAAAAAAGGTTATTGTTAAAATGTATTTTTACTCTCTGAAAATTTATCACAATAGACTAGGAATAATAAGATAGAAAAGAGGATTAAGCCATAAATATATAAATTTACTACCTAATTGCTCTCGACTTAGGTAATTATAGAAATTAGAAAATATAATTTAATCTCTTAAGAAATATAAAATGTTGTATAAATATGCGAGAAGATAGTCTGAGCCGATTAGTGACCCTCATTTATGACGAGTCCTGTTCAACCACTCAGTCCGGTAAATTCCCAGGGATGATGAAACTTCGGACAATTCTGCTGGCGAGCCCAGGTAGTTCAACAACGGTCAGAAAGGATGAGTACCTGAGCAGGAGCACAGCTAGGACCCATTAGGAAGGAGAAGGACCAATCAACGTTGCCAAAAGTCCAGTACAACGGAATACTTAGATCACTTAGATAGTAGGGAGAGTTGCCCCCGCCACTTCTAGCAATATGAGTCGAACTTAGACATATTTGAGAATATGCAGAATAGTATTCGAGCTCAGACTTATCACCTCGTTTTCTAATTTTTTGTAAAGTCCTTTGAATACATACTTCAATTTAGTTAATCTAAGTCCGTCCAATTATTTATTTAATTAATATTCGCATATTAACATCTTCCTCATCCTATAAATTCCCGTTGATAAAGTTGAGTATTTCGATATTTTCCCGGGCGAATCAAAGACCACGTCGGTAACTTTAAATTTAAATAAAGATTTTTATCGTTGTCCACCAGGAGGAGGACATAACACATCACTGTGGCGGTCCTGCCGCCTCGGTCGCGCTCCCAGCGACCAGAAGTCAAAACAAATCTACCAAAGCGCCAATCGTCGGAGCGGGAAACTCTCTCTCTCTCTACAATAAACAGTCCCACACAAATTCAAATAATCCCGCCTTTCTGCACGCCATAGCTGTGGCGTGACTGTGCAGTATTATTATTATTATATTATCGATTGTGACCTGACTAATTATAAGGAGAGACGCTAAGTTTTTTATGTAATAAATAAGTGAATAAATATTATCAAACACGAATTATTCTTGCAATATTATTATCATTATTAGTATATAGTGTAGTATCCCTTAACAACTACAAAATAACATGGGATTTTCTGGGAGCGAAGTTATAAAAATTGCCACCTCGAGCGCTAGCCCTGTTGCCCTCGGAGCGAATTGAGAACCACATCTTGACTACTATTATATGTGTATAGCTCCATATTATTGCAGTTCTGTGATAGTGTTAGTTACATTCTATCCACATGTTAAAATTTACAATATTTTCTAGAAATTGTTTAGGGCAACCATTTTCCATTCAAAAATTATCGAGTGAAAAAATAAAAATTTAATTGTTGGATAATTCTTAAATTTTTGTCGACAAGACTTAATTTTAGTAAAAATTTTGGAAATCATTGGAACCATCTTTAAATAACCTTCAAAACTAAGAACTTTCTACACAGAAATATAACTAAATAGTAAAATCTAACCATATTCTGGTTATTTTTTAGTGATTTAATTGATACAACGGACTCTGGTGTGACATAAGATTGAATATACCGAAAAATAGTGTAAAAAAAGTGTAAAATCAAAAATTTATTATTCATTATTAAGAAGGGGCTGGAAGTAGAAGAACATAATATGCATGCTGCAATTTATAACTATAGCTTAGCAGTGTATGGAGCTATTTCAAATCATCTAATCGGACGTATTAGCTCATTTCTTGAAGATAAAATAATTAAAAATGAACCTTTAGAAACGACTGGACCTTTTGCTGGATACACAGCATTGCATATAGCTTGTATGGATAGAGATAGAAAATTGGTAGAAGTATTGGTTCAAAACTACCATGCAAATGTAAATGCTGTTGCTGACGATGGAGCTCAACCTATTCACTTTGCGTGTTTATTCAAATGTGTGACGATTATAAAGATTTTGTTAAAAGCTGGTGCCAACGTTGATGCTGAAATAGAACAACAACTTTTTGGAAAATACATTAGAAAGAAAAGGTGGCGCAACGATTTTGGGGATAAAATGACTTTGTCAACTTTTTCAATCCTATATGGTCACAGTGCTTCGTTTGTGTCATCATTAATCGAAGGCAAAGCAAATTTTAAAGTTAAGAGTCTGAAAAATAAAACACTGTTGATGTATGCCATTGAAGAGGAGAACGGCATCGCATCTTCACTTATACAAAAAGTACAAGATCAGGAATGGATAAACGCCCGTGACAGCGATGGTTATGCTGCTACCCATTATAGATTACATCCAAAAAATTTAGAAAATGATCGATACTTTGATAATGGCCGCATATGGTTCGATGATATGAATAGCGCTATTTTGATTCGCAATTCACTTGATGCTGGTGCTGACGTTAACGCAACCATAAATGATGATCCAAATACTCTATTAATCAATTTAGCGGCTCGCATTCATTTTCCACTTACACTGGATAAATTGTTGCCTTATCATTACAATACTTCACAATCAACTGCTTTGTATTACGTATTACGTCCACTTAAAACTCCACAGACACAATTCAGCATTGATAGAAAAAGCGCAAGTATCAAGTTGATTCTAAAAGACCTTATTTATAGACGTACGTTTGGTTTATTCGTTCCTGAAGATGAAATAATATTGATGGACAAGGTAATCGCTGAAGACATATATTTCAGGGAGCAAGCACACACCTACGAACAAAATATTATTCACGGAGAGTTAAAAACAAAAGTGCTTAAGTATGATGATACACGGACTGTTAATAAATGATTTTTTAACATCATAGGATTTAATAGATATTTATTAAAAGTTAAAAAATTATTTATTAAATACGATTTATTAAATGTTAATTAATATTTGTTAAGAGTTAACGAATATTTATTAACAGTTAATAAATATTTATTAATGGTTAATGAATATTTGTTAACTGTTAACAAATATTTATTTAAAATAAAAAACAAAAATAGTAATTTTCTTTTGATACTTCTTATGATTCTATAGCTGAAATACATGATAATAATTCAATTCACTAAATAAATTAACGATTTCAATATTTAAAAATATAAAATATAATTATTAGCTGTAATAGAATTTACTGAATTTAGTATTTTATAATAAACGTTAATATAATGTAATATAATTAATACAAATAATTTATAAAGATGATTTTTGTTTATAAACAATCTTCATATCATATGACATTACAAGGGAAACAAATTTACTCAAAAAAATATTTATCAACTGTTAATAAATATTTGTTAACTAATAAATAAATAATTATTAACTATTCATCAATGTACTTTCCTCCCAAATAAATATTTATTAAATGTTAAAAAACATTCATTAAAATTTAATAAATTAAATAATTGTCTTTAAATAAATTAAATTATTAATAGTTAATAAATCCTTCTATCAGTGTATATAAGGTAAAAGACCCAGTTATTGACACTGGCCTAGTTATTCACACTTGAAATTTTATTTTAATTAATTAAAACAAATCGACTCTAATAAATTAATAAATATAATTTTTTAACTCATATTTTTAATTTCTCATATTTTTAATAAGACACATAAATTCTTGTAATTTTTTGATTGTTGTTGTTATTTTTCTTCACTGAAATCAATTCATATCAGAGTAAAAATAAAAAAATAACAATCATGTCATGAAATAATTAATATCATTTTTTATTTATATAATATATTTCGGACATAACCTACATCTATAATTAAATAAACAATGTTGTTACTCCAATAATATTGTAGCTAAAATCACAATATTGGCTAGGTCTACCTGCCAGAAGAATTGTACATACGGCAAGCCAGTATGGGCCTGACGGCTATACTAGCATTGCGGCATCCGCGATAACTATAGCCAATTTTACCATTCCCGCATGGTCGAATCATCTATGTGTACAGTTTAATAATGGACAAAAATCTTCGATACCATACTGTATGGCGTTCTCGCCCATACTGGTATAGTGGTATCTACCATCCATTTCTCTCCGTGTAAAAGTATCACGTATTATGACTTCATAATGTCATGTTTTGATGATAAACAAATACGTCTGATAGTAAAAAATAAATCCTTAATAGACGCGTTCGAGAATACCTTCCCAAACTCTAGTATGTCTTCGTTCGCTAAGGAATTTATTAGAAACCCTAATTTTCCTTCTTATTCTATGGACCTTTTGAAAGCTGATTATTTTTTCTTCCGGAAACAAATTTCGATTAGAATAAAAAAAACTTCAAGAAGACTTGAGCAGTTAGAAGCATTAAAAAGAGTAGAAAATCTCCGTAATGCTATCCCTTTGCCATATGAATTGGTAATAATGATAGTTGAATATTTTAACTATCAAGACTTTAAAAATTTTATTCAGGCTTTCTATTTATAATATATTTACTTTTGTAAACAAAACTAAATAATTGTATTTGTAGTAAATAATAACAAATAGTAAAGAAATGATTACCTTAATTAGTATTAAACCAGATTTACTATAAATATTGGGTTACTACCGATAACGTATTGTAACATCATTACTTTTATTTATAAAATTAGAGTGTTTTGTATTCATAGAGTTAGTAATTGAGAGTTGAATTAAATAAATTGTGTGTTACTTTATCAAAAACTACCGTTGTTTTATTTTAACTATATTTTTTTAAGTTTCCTGATTTACTAAAAATTTAATAAGTTTTAAGGCTGCATTCGAAAATGCCCTATCTCTAGACACATATATAATTAATTATAATTAAGAAATGACCTTGTATCTTGTGAACTATTGACATTTTTAAAGATATAAGCTCATCCCGATGTTACTCTTCCCTTGTGGAAATTTTTCGGACTTTTTTCAAAAAAAAACTTCTAAAGACTTTTAAAAACTTTTTCAGAGTTTTCGAGGTTTTTTGAGAAAAAAGTCCGAAAAATTTTCATAAGGGTTATCAAGACCTTTCATTTGAGTTTTATTATTTTCTCGAATATTACTACATCCTGATGATTATTATTACTTCGTAGAAGAAGTGCGGGGGTGACTCTCTTCGCTTATCCAAGTATTGCGCAGTACGGGACCTGTCCAATGTTGTTAAATTGTAAGATAATGACAAGAAAATTAAATTAGGTGACATAGGTAAATTTTTATAATTTTTTTATTGAAAAAAATATTACAAAAAATTTTTATTTGTGAAAAACGTGAAAAACTATAAATGCGATTTTTTTTTCAATCTTCTTCTATATATATAAAAGAGGATGTTTGTATATGTCATCGATAAACTCAGGAACTATTTGACCGATCATTATGAAAATTGGTATGTTTATGTATTTTTTCACGGAGAAGGTTTATATGCTATGCCCATTGATGTAACTCGTCACCAGGCGGCGCTGTCAAGTATCGACTTCCGCCCTGTTCAACCGATTGTCATAAAAATTGGTACGGCCATGTATTTTTCCACGGAGAGAACGAATACGTTATGCCCATTAATGTAACTCGCCATCAGGCGGTGCTGTAAAATATCGACTTCCGACCCATTCAACCGATTGTCAAAAAATTGGTGTGACCATATATTTTTCCACGGAGAAAGTACATCACGGAAAGATTAAAACCCGAATGGTTCGTTTTCTGCACCAGACTCAGTCGTGTGCAAGAAAAAATGGAAGAAAAATTAATTTACACCAGACTGAGTCGTGTGCGCACCCGACTGAGTCTGGTGCAGAACACGACTGAGTCATGTGCTCACACGACTCAGTCTGGTGTAAACTAATTTTTCTTCTATTTTTTCTTGCATACGACTAAGTCTGGTGCAGAACACGAATCAGTCGAAGGTTTTAATCTTTCCGTGCATTTCATTAAATATTACCATCAGATAGCGCTTCAATACATTGAGTTCTATAGCGATCAACTGATTTAAAATTTTATATGCGGCAATGAAGGTAATGAAATGATTTCTCATTAAATTCAGTGAGTTATTTTACAACTTATATTAAATAAGAAAATGAGAAAATAAGAGAAATAACTAATCTTCATTTGTAAACAAAAAAATATAATTTATTTAAAAAGCAAATCAGCCAACTTCAAATATATCATTTGTTATTTAATATTAATGGCTGCGTTCAGGTTTACTAAGTTCTGAGCAGGGCTGACTTTATCTAGCAAAAAAATTAATTTTAAACACACTTAAATAACTATACCTTGCATTGTTTTATTATAGATTAAAAAAAAATTATATAGTTATTTTAAGTTGTTGCTACAAGATATGCTCAGATCTGCTAAGAACTTAGTAAACTTGAACGCAGCCAATATTTGTCTGTCAAAACTAAACATAATTTTTATTTTTTTTATACCTGAACAAGATTTGCTGGAGTAATTTCAAATATAATTGGCTTAAGAACATCCGGGAACACCAATTATTTTATGTTTACCGTCGAGAAAAATAATGTGAATTATTTGATGATGTTAAAGGACTATTCTGAGCTGTTAATTCTAAAATTTTATGAACATCAGGTAGAATATAAGTGAATTCGATGTATTACATATAAAGTCATAATTATAACTTATAACTATAGAAAATACAAATTTACAATTAATAACAACAATTTAAAAATGATTATCTCTTCTTTTTCTTCATTGATACGATTTTTAGGTTATCCAAATTTACCATGCTCAAGCCTTGCGTCGTACTTTGATCGCCGATGTTGAGATGAGCCCGATATTTTTTTGAATAGTTCAGAAAGTGGATGTTACACTAACTGATATGTTTATGAGTTTGGTTAACAATTTTCACCCGCTAGAGAGAAAGCTTGAAGAAAATAAACTCGAAGATGAATGATGGTTAACATATTGCGATAATAGAATTAATTATTTACAATGTATTAAAATATGTACTTTGTTCAATACACTAAGCTTTAGCCCGGTGAAGCGGGCTGGGTTTGCTAGTTATTTTATAAACCTAATTTAATTTTAAAGAAAAATCTAAAAATTGTCTAAATTGTCTAAAAATTGGCTAATTTCAGTGTTATCAAATTGGGCTATTTCTCGCCAATTGGTCTATGATACTGAAACCAACAGACGAAAAAAACAATTTTAGACAACTTGCGAATTTTTTTCAAAAGAAATTCTTTCTCTCTGTGAATATTTATTTATTTATTAGAAAACAGATGCCTATCGGCTTTATACATCATATATATATAGAGTAGAGAAAGATATAGTGTTGAAATAAAAAAACAGCAGGTTAAAAGTAAAAAAAAAGACAGAATAGTAAATTAAATTAATTACAGTAATAATTTAATAAGTTAAACGTTGGATCAACGATAGGGAAGTATTTTGTTTTTGGTATTCGTAATGAAAGCTTGATAGGTACCACCGTAGAAGTTGATGTCTGTGTGCAAGGAGTTGACGAGGTTGGCGATCCTGTTATGCGGCCCATGGAAGACGTAATTTTTCTGTGTCTTAGTCGTTTTTAATAGGCGATTATGTGTTAGGTTAGGTTGAAATTCAAGGTACACAGTAAAAGCAGGATGATATTTATCCTCTGGAACGAATGGTAGAGCTTTATCAATGCTGGCTTCAACGTTGCTTTAATTTTAACGAAGACGAGTTCCAGGTTACAATCATCAATGGGTATTAAATCAGCATGAATGTGGCGTTTAATGGCAATGAAGACACCACCTTCACGTTCTTGTCCTGAGAGTGTTGGGTCTCTATCGTTTCTATAAATAGTGTATGTGTTAACAATTACCTCGCCATCACGAATCGACGAGTGTAACCACGACTCACTCTCTAAATCTGAAACAGTGAAAATCACTGGAAATTAGTAGTAAATTCACTGTTTTACAGTTATAAGTATACCACTTGGTAGACTTATAACTGTGAAACAGTGAAATTCCACTGATTAATTTTTAGAGAGCAGTAATACAGATTAAGTCGAAACTACTGGCCGCGGTTGCTGTCAAAAATTTGGACAGCTTGGTTCGGAGGCCTCGTGTGTTTTGATAGTAAACTTGCAGAGCCTTGAGGCTTTCCTCTCTCACTGAGCGGGCGAAAATTTTTGTTTGCTATCTGCGGTACACCTTGGATATACTTGATGGTTTTGCTTGTATCACCATTTTTTATTAGTGTATCAAGTTTAGAACGCAGATCCTTGAGATGAGACTGTTGCGCAGGTGTTAAATCAGGTTTGAAAGCTACTGTGGAGCCTTATTCACGATGATTGAATATAACTAATGAAATTTATTTATTTGGACGTAAATTATTAACAAAATCTCTAGTTAAAAGTTATTTGCGTTAGCAAAGAACGATTAGTCGAGGTGGTAAATTATTGTTTATAGATTATTCCGTATTAATTTTACTGAAAATCCAATCTATATACAATTTAATATTAGCAAAAAGCGATCGAGAGTTAGGGAGTAACTCACAATCCATTTTCTGTGATTTTATCCCCCTTAAATAACCTTCATTAACTATTGGACTGCCAAGATCCCCCAAATTACACGACGAATTTCTCAAATAATTATTATTATTTAAAACAGCACAAAATATATTTTGTGAATTTAAAAGATCACTATTTAAAGAATAATATTGAAGACAATCTTGAGGTTTCATTGATAACCAACGGCTAGTTTTTGAATTCGATCTAATTTTATTTCCCACAACATTTTGTTCCCAACTAACAATATAAAACTGTTGATCAGATGCCATTGTATAATACGAACCATCTATTTTTATAGGTTTTACGAAACAAGATCTGTCAGTAGAACGAAAAGTACCAAATATTTTGATCATTGCAATTCCCACTTTTGGCCACATACTATTCATTAAGTTGGGCAGACTGTATACAGAAGTCTCAGTCACTGTATAAAGATTCAGGTCACAAGTTTGTATTGTAACCATTGGTATCATTTCTCGGATATTAAAAATACATTGGGATGATGTGACAACCCAACGATCACTAACTATCGCTCCATTGCAATAGTGAACACCATTGATTCTGATACTAACAAGCCAAGGCGATCATTTCAATTGGGAATTTTGATCTTCATCTATATTGATTGAATCTTGTGATGAATCAGCTTGAATTGACGATACTGAAAATTTATTTTTATATATAAAAAAATATTACAAAGAAAAAAAAATTATTTTTAAAACAATGAGTAATGTTATAAGCAGTAAGAAATTAATTTGTTTCAAATTTTAAAGAATTTTATTTCTTAGCTGAAGAAATAAAATTTTTTCTCACCGTAACTTTCTTGCTAATTTTTTTTTATAGTAAATTAAGGAAAGTCAGTCAAAAAAAAAAAAAAATAACTGAATGGTTACTTTTACTATTTGAAAGAAAAAAAACCATCAACGCAATGACTAATTTGAAAAACATGATGCTGGTTCTGCTGAAGAACTTATATATGAGTGTTGACGCATCTTAAGGCAGTTGGGTCGTGCAAAGCATATTTCAAGAAAATTATGATTTTTTTTTATCGAAGGATAAATATAGATGTTTACAAAACGATTGGCACAAAAAAAAATTATACGCCCTTTTGGCATTTGGCACGCTATATTAATAGGCTAATATTACTAGGCCTAATTCACTACCAAAATTTCCGATCAATTTACCGCACTATTTTTGAGTAATTAATTTTTGAAATTGCATCTTTTACACGTACAGGTATAGAGTATCTTTCGATAAAAAAAATTTCATAATTTTCTTGAAATATGCCTTGCACGACCCAACTACCTTAATTTAAATCTTTTTCTATAATTAAATTTATTACTTACATGGTGATTAATCAACTTAACTTCTCTACTGTTTGATTATCAATGACTTTTATTAATTTCTTCACGTCTTATCTTACTTCTTTTTCCAGCAGTTATGGTAAAATAATTAATAGTAAAATATTATATTCTGAAATAATATTAACTATTTATTTATTTGATAAAATTTTATTCAATATTATCAAATTTAAATTATGTCTTATTATTCTTTGATTTTCTATTATTATTATAAGTATGTTCTTTGGATAATTGTAATAAATTATTAAGAAAATAAAAAATTATTTTTACCTTTAGCAGTACTCCTTGATTTGTATGATACTGACTTGAATATGATACTGTGTCCAGTTGGATCGTGCGAAACCTATGGAGTTTTACGTATGTGTGCGGAGTAGAATCGTACATGATTAGATTAAACATCTATGTTATCTTCATGAGCAGAAGCATGCGCGTATGAAGTCACAGAAGTATAACTTTACATATTTTGTAGTTACTTATAAGAAAATAAAATTTTTTTTTAAATTTGCACTTGTAATTTTTTTTAAATTTCTGTGTGAAATTTTTTTATGAAAATTTTTTTATAATTTCGATGAAAATTAAAGTAGCAGATACTTATTTGATAATTTTTAGAATTTTTTTAAGAAATAAATTACTGCAAAAAAAAAAATGGAAAAAAAAACTAACATGTAGAAATTATAAAAAATTAAAAATGCAATTTTTTTATAAATAATTTTTTAGAACAAATTTCTTTGTTAAATAAAATTAAAAATTGTCAAGTAATTGCTAACTTTAATGTCATTACATGAAAATTAAGTTAACCGGCAACTAAAAATTTTTATGAATTTTTTTATTAAAAAAATTATTACAAAAAAATAAAAAAAAAAATTTAATCTGTAAAAAATTTGAAAAACTACATGTGCAATTTTTAGAAAATATTTTGTAGTACTAATTAAATAATTTAAAGAAAATCAAAAAATTAAAAACGTTGGCTAACTTCTGTATCATCTGCATTAGTAAATATTCACTCTGGTTTCGTGAAAGTAATAAACGAAAACTATAACAGATAACTTTTATTGGAATACGAAATGTAAAATTCCAGTGCATTATTAAATCACATTTTACGATTTGTAAAATTTTTTTCTTAATTTTAAATTAATATAACAATATCGCATAGTAAATTCTGAAATCTAGTTTTGTAAGTCATAAACGCAAATTATGATCAAAAACCTTTATTTGCCTACTAAATTTAAAACTCCGGTCTATTTTAAAAATCTTATACTATAATGATTTGTAAAATTACATTTTCAATTATTCTTCAATTTTTATACTTTTACAATTCTAAAAAAAATCTTTCATTATTCTTGTTATTCTATAAAATTACTCTAGCGAAAATTTACGGTACATATATAGATGAGTTGGGACTTGTTTTGAAAAATAGTAAGATTTTTTCATGTGAAAATGGAATAGGTCAACATTGAATGGATTTGAAGAATAATTATAAGAATTTAAAGTTAATTTTATTATTAAGTTTTAATTCTTCTTATTATTTATTTTTAACACATAAACAAAACGCTTTTTAAATTATTAGTACATAAAAATGAATAAAATTAAAATTAAAAAGAACATTAAGTACACGGAAACGACAAAATTATACTGGTTACAATCCCGGATTATGCACATTATTATCCGAGACAAAAACAAATTTCAGATTATAGTTACTATAATCTAGATGACATTCAGTATAAATTGGATCTTTTTTTATCTCAGATTATAACTCGAGATTGTAAACAGTATAATCTTGTTCCGAGTTAACAGTAAAACAAATATGAAATAAAAGAAAGAAAATTAGTGACTAATTGTCAATGACGATTACTGTTATATTGTATGATATTCAACTTTGCAATATAAACATTATTTCGTATTTTTTTCAGATTGAAGTGACGACTCTATCTGACTTATTTTTTTAGAGAAAGATAATACTTTCGGTTGAATCGCAACAATTCTTTTTTTCTTTCCATCTTTGGTCTGTTAATCGAGCTTTGCATAAACAGGCCTGTAGACTCATTATTATTATTACTAATCTTTACTAATGAGTAAAATACATCAAAATTTATGATTATTGCGCAGTTTTAAATAATTCTTGAAATATTTAAAGTATTTTTAGGGTAGATAATTTTATTAATACAGAGTAACATACAGAGTTAATACATAAAGTAAGAAATAATGAAAAAAAAAGGTAAATTTTATTTAATGTCATCAAATTTTAATTATGTCTTACTATCCTTTTATTTTCTATTATTCTTAAGTATGACATTACATAATTGAAACAAATTATTAAGAGAATAAAAAATTATTTTTACTTTTAATAGTGTACTCTTTGATTTATGACACTTAAATATGATACTGAAATCAGCAGACATTCGAAAATGTTTTTGATTTTTATTCAGAATTAATTATAAAAAATAAAAAATTTTTTTTAAATTCGCACTGAGTAAAATTTTTTTATTAAATTTTTTTCGTAATTTCGATGAAAATTAAAGTGGCAGATATTTTTTATTTTTTTTTTTTAAATAAATTACTGCAAAAAAAATCAAAATGAAAAAATTTTTTAAAATAAAAAATGCAATTTTTTAAAAATAATTTTTCAGAACAAAAATTTTATTTTTAAATAAAATTAAAAAATGGTCGTGACTGATGACTTGCTTAATGTTCATAAATCTATAAAATTATTTGTTAGGACTTTTAAAAATTAAATTTTTCTTGCTATAATTTATTTGTTAAAAAAATTATAAAATGTCTCTCAATTTCAACATTATTAATTTTTTATGACATTGAAGTTAGCAGTCACTTGAAAATTTTTCAATTTAATTTTATAAAAAAATTTGTTTAGAAAAATTATTTTTTAAAAATTGCATTTTTTATTTTTTTAAATTTCTACATGTTGAATTTTTTTTGCCGTAATTTATTTGTTATAAAATTATTAAATATATGCTAAATTAATTTTCATTAATTTTTTTATTATTTCAACTTATTTTTGCTTGTCATTTTTCGCAAATGTGGTAGCAGAACTGCGCGCCATCTCAAGCTAGAATTCGAGTTAAATTATTTCCCATGATTGACAACCACTGATCTTGACGCTACCCGAGACGCCGGCGGTCACGTGGTCACCGCATTGTGTTTTGGAAAGAAGAGCTGGATGCTGGATCATATTCCAAACATAATCAAGATCTCTTTGGAATTTTTCTTTCACACTTGGTTCTCAGTAAACCGCTGTTTAATAAATAATTAAATTAATTATTTAATTATACACTATAATTTTTTTACTAAATAAGTTGACAAGTAACTTGTTTACTTTTTTGATTGTTAATCATGGCCAAATATGTAGACCCGGTTTCTGGAATTAGTCTCAGGTAAATTAATATAGTTTTAAAAAATTAAATTATTCAAGTTAAATTTTTTTTCGATAAATTATTTTTATATCTCTGATATCATTAATTAATTTTTGTTTTTAATTTTTTGGTACATTGTCTATTAGTAAAATTTTATGATAAATAAGTGAGGTTATGAAATTTATTAAAAATTGAAAAAAAAAAAAAAATTTTTTTTAGTCAAAAAATTATAAAATTGATATTTTTAAAACACTTAGATTTAAATTTGTGACAAATTAATTTTAAATACAAATTATTTATTAAGTTTTCAAAATTTTTCTATTCTCAATAATAAGATATTATTTTTTATTTTTCATTTTTATTAAAGAGATTTGATGTCGGATGACGGTATGATGTTCAATTTCGGCAGTGAATTTGATGCAAATGAAGAAGCTCGTTTGCAATTTGATCCAAACATGAATTTTGTAGAAGATGAACTTCTTAAGTTTATAGATCTTGAAGTATCAGATCATGATGGCAATGATGATGATAGTAAAGTTCCCATGTCGCCAGGTTTTAATTTTGACAAAATTAAAGCGAAAATGGTTAACTTGCGAGATGATGGAAAGGTAAGTTTCTGAATTTTCTTTTAATTTTTTCAAGCCTAAATTATCATGATATTAAAATAAGCTTCTAATATTTTGCTTTTGTTTTAACAATAAACTTGGTATTAGAAAATAACTAGCAACCTGCAGTCACTGTGTGACTGCCGAGATTTACAAATTATGAATAAAAAAACTTTGGCTTAATGATTTTTTTATATTTATAATCACACTAGTAGTTTGGGTACTTTTTAAATAAATTTTAAAAATAATATTGCTATCACAGGATCAATTATAAATAATTTATTGGATCCAATATCATTTATATTATTAACAGAATAGGTAGAAATTTGTGGCCAGTGTATTTATATTAAAAGATGGGTTCTTATGGTTAAATTTGGTATCGTTGAAAGTCTTAACCCGGAGTTGTGCCTTTTCATGGTTTTATATCATTCTCACCAATAGTCAACTTATGATGATGCACTTAGGTAGCATTCAAAAATTCCCTATCTCTAGTTAGATAATTAAGAAATGACCTTGTATCTCGTGAACTATTAACATTTTTAAAGATATAAGCTCATCCCGATGTTACACTCATCAAGATCTTTCATTTAAGTACCTACATCAATTTTTCATATATTTATATATATGTATATATGAAAAATATATCAAAATGCATGTGGGTACTCAAATGAAAGCTCTTGATGAGTGTAACATTTGGATGAGCTTATATCTTTAAAAATGTCAATATTTAAGAAAGTATAGTGCAATTTAACAAATATCTTGTGAAATATTTACATTTTTTTAAATATAAGCTCACTCCAACATTACACTCATTGAGACCTTCCATTTGAGTACCCACATTAATTTTTCATATATTTTATATATTTATATATATTATAAATATGTATACATGAAAAATATATCAAAATGCATGTGGGTACTCAAATGAAAGCTCTTAATGAGTGTAACATCGGGATGAGCTTATATCTTGAAAATCCTCAATTGTTAAGAAATTACAGTGCAATTTAACAAAAGTCATTATTTAATAAAGCAAAATTTTATTTACTTATAGATGACAAGTTACGGCAGTCACGTAGTGACTGCCAGGTTGATAGTAATAAATTAATAACTATTTTAAGCATATGTAACATTGAAAAGGCACTAATTCAAGTCTTGACTTTTCTAAAGATATTAAATTTAATTTAAAAAACTCATTTTATCATATAAATACATCAAAAACAAAATTTTCTTATTCTTTTAATTATATCGACGGTCTAATTAGCAATCGGTCTAACTCCTTGTTTTTTATAGGATGATTTTTTAATTTTTTAATGGAACAATATAAATAGTCCAATTATAAATGTTTTGAATGATCCAAACCAACATATTATGCCTTTTTTAGATATTAACTTATTTTTTCAAGTGATAATAAATTTTGAACTAATTGTTTTTTTTTGTACAAATCGAAGATTCTCTCAAATGGAGTTAGACAATTTGCTAATTATAACAGTGATATAAATTTTTATTTTTTTTTTTTTATAATTCCTTATGAAATTTTTAGTGAAAAAATTCTCAGATATCTGCTATTTTAAAAACAATTATTTATTGTTTAACAAACAATAATTCCCTTACAGATAAAAAAATTAGTCCTTCAAAAGGGTGTCGGAGAAATAGTCCCCTCTAACGCTCAAGTAACAATAAAATATTCTGGATATTTAGAAGGCCAGGACAATCCATTTGATTCAAGCTACCAACGGCACAGCGTCGACCGCTATCGTTTGAGTCGCGGAGAATTAATATCGGGCTTAGATTTTTCCCTTCAAAGTATGCGAAAAAATGAAGTGTCAATTTTTTTAATCGACCCAACTTTAGCTTACGGCGAGATAGGATGTTGGCCCAACATCCCCGGTAATTCCGAAGTGATGTTCATAGTCCACCTATTGAATCACGCTGAGACAATTGCCGCCGCTGATTACGAGTCACTTGAGCCAGAAGAGCGTAAAATATTTAGTAAAATAGAAAAATTCATCGAGAATTTATTAGCAGTCGGTGCTGAAAATTACAAAAATAAACAGACTAAAAAAGCGATTCGTGATTACATACGCGTAATTGACCGCTTGGAAGAGTGCAAGTTCAATGATGACGAAGAAGAAGAGCGTTGCAATTTATTGCGGTCGCGTTCTTACCAAAATTTAGCGCTTTGCTACAATAAAGAGGACATGCCACGCAAAGCTTGTATCGCTTGTAATAATGTGACTAATAAAACAGCCAAGACTTATTTTCATCATGGACGCGCGCTTATTAAGATGGGCCAGTATGAAGAAGCGTTAGAAAAATTAAACCTTGCATTAGAAATGAGCCCACGCAATGAAGAAATAATGAAAGAAATAGGCATTGCTGATAAATTACAGCGCAAGAGTTTGAAAATAGAAAAAGATATGTGGTCTAATTGTTTAGGGGTTGAAAAATTGAAAATTGAAACTAAAAATGAGGAGTACAAAAAAATTGCTACGGAATTTTGTAATAATTTTGTGAACAATAAGGATGTTATGAGGCAACCATTGCCGGATGGAGTTGATCCTTTGCTTAAAGAGGCTATGAAGAAAGCTGCTTTATTATTGGGGATTAAAATTTCTTCTGTTAATAAATTTGGGAAGGAAAGCTTTTATCTTGAAAAATCTAACTATCAATAATGTTACTCATATTTTTTATAACGACGTTCTAATTAGCAAATTGTCTAACTCTATTTTAGAGAATCTTCTATTTGTACGAAAAAAACAATTAGTTAAAAATTTATTATCACTTTAAAAAACTATTTAATATCATTATTATCTATTATAGATATAATATTTAGATTTGAATTATTCAAATAATTTATAATTCGTTTATGGCTACATCAAAAAGTAAAAAAATCACCCTCTAAAAAATAAGGAGTTAGACAAATTGCTAATTAGACCATCGATAATGTTCTTTGATTAATAAGTTGAGAATTCGTAAGTACACTGAGAAAAAATTTATTAGAAAAGAATAAGTTATTTTGTAATAAAAAATTCTTTAACATGTTTGGAAAATAAGTCCTGAAAAAATTTGGATATTTTGAGCGTAATCAGGATGAGCTTATATCTTAAAAAATGTTAATAATTAAAAAATTACGTTGCAACATCGTTTACTAATGATATTTTGAACGATATAAGCTCATCCTGGTGTTATACTCATCGAGACCTTTCATTTGAGCACCCACATCAATTTTTCATATATTTATATATATTATATATATATGTATATATGAAAAATATATCAAAATGCATGTGGGTACTTGAATGAAAGCTCTTGATGAGTGTAACATCAGGATGAGCTTATATCTTCAAAAATGTCAATAATTAAGAAATGACATCGTATTTTGTCTACTGATGATATTTTAAACGATATAAGCTCATCCTGGAGTTATATTTATCAACACCTTTCATTTGAATACCCACACGATTTTTTTCATATATTTTATATATTTCACAAATATGAGAAATATTATATATATAAAATATATGAAAAATTCGTGTGGGTACTCAAATGAAAGCTCTTGATGAGTGTAACATCAGGATGAGCTTATATTTTAAAAAATGACAATAATAAAGAAATGACGTGGCATTTTGTCCACCGATGATTTTTTTAACAATATAAGCTTATCCTGGAGTTACATTTATAGAGATGAGTTACACTTAACTTGAACTTTATGATCGATTAAAGTATAAAGTTAAAAATTAATTGACTATACAGTTATACTATTGAAAAATTTAATTACTTATTCAATAAAAATTTTCAATCAGAAGTTTTATTCATACATTTTTTATAATCATAATTAATGAATTTTTCTTAGAATTTCAAATTAGTTTTCACAGAAAAATGAAAACGAGTTATTAATAATTGTAATCTTTTTTTTCTATGATCTTGGATTATTGTTATTGTTATTATTATTCCGGTGTATTTTATAATTATTATAATAATTTATACGTTACAGTATTTGTCGCTTTATTGTTGTTATTTGTAAATTAATTTCGTAAATGAAAATTTAGTACATACAAGTATCAATAATATGTTAAAAAATATTGTATTCAATTTTTCACATCTTTTCTTGATAAAAATAAATAAAATTTTCTATGACGAAATTATATCATTTAAAACATCCAACATTTCTAATTAAATTTCTACTTATAATTTCTGTAAATTTTTAGTAGATTTCAAAGAAATCTAACTATTGCAATTGTTCTCATGGCGCAACTTTTGAAAAATTTCGCTATTTTCTGACTCAGTTCGTCAAACTGGTTCAGAAAATACCATTGACAAATTCTTTCGCGGATAACTTTTGAATGAGATAACTTATCAAATTTTTGTAAATTGCATTTTAAAGCCCATTAAACGAGCTTCAATTTTTATGTCATTTTATTCTCTTCAACTTAAAATAACCAATTCGTCTGTAGGTTTTCAATGGAATTTTACTCTTGCAGTAGTTTTTTCGATTAATTTGTCCAGTATATCATCATAAAAATCTATCAATATTTTTATCCTTATTCACAATGCATTTTTTTTTTTTTTTGTATAAAATCCTAGCAGTTTTTTTTTCTATTAACTATAAAATCTACTTTCATTTTGGCTGCCGAATGGCCTTTTTTTTATAAAAATTCCACAAAAAATTTCAAACTTTAATAAAATAATTATTTTGAATTTTTTTTTTCTAAATAATCATAATAACTACTAACTAATAAAGATATTTTTTAAAGACCTCTTTATTATTTCAATTTAAGTAAATTTTAAGATTTTAAAGATTTCTTCTTTTTTAACTTTTTATTTTTCTTCTTTCTTTTCAAAGCTAATTTTTTCCTTTTTTCCAAAACCTTCCACAAATTTTTAAAACGTCCCAATTGTTTTCTGACCATAATACCCCGCCAAGCTCCTTGAATTATTGTCGCCGCACGATGAATAGCCGCCCAATATTCTTCTGATTCTATCTTCTTTTCCTGCTCCACTTCACACTCTTTAATAACGACTTGTTGCTCATCGCGTAATTTTATTTTGTCTTCTAAAATTTCTTTAATATTATCAATTTTTCCCTTTTCTTCATCAATCTCTTGTTGATACTCGTCTATCTCAGTATTGTACTTATCCCTCCAATCTTCCATCTGCTTTTCCATCAGTGATATTTCGTGCTGGAAAAAAGTTATCAGTTCACCGGAAATAATTTCATCGACCTTTTCTTTCTTCGTGTAGTCACTTAATTTGTCATTCAAACTTTGTTCTTTTATTTCAAGCAATAATTTTTGCTGCTTCAATCGAGATTCTTCCCACTTTTCTACGAAATCTATAAAATAAAAAAAATTAAGAAAATTATATAAAGTAATAAATAAATAAAAAAAATAAAAAGATAAATTATAAAGTAGTTACTTAATTTTAAAGCGCTATTATTAATTATATTTTGAATTTTTCCAGAAATTTTTTCTGTATCTGAAAGCGCGGTTTTTATTTGTAATTGATTATTAACTTTTTCAATTTCTATTAATTCATTTAATTGTTGTAATTGTTCGCTCCAAATTTCGTAATATACTTCTAAGTTATGCTGGTCTTCAGAAATTTTAACGATATCATCGATTTCTTTTTTTAAACATTCATAACTATTTTGCGTTCTCAATTCTTCCGTCAATTTCTTCAACACGTTTGAAATATAAGTCCTGAAAAAATGTTCATACTTTGAGCATAACATCCGAAAATGTCAATAATTAAGAAATGACCTTGTATCTTGTGAACTATTGACATTTTTTAAGATATAAGCTCATCCTGATGTTATACTCATCGAGAGCTTTCATTTGAGTACCCACATCAATTTTTCATATATTTTATATATTATATATATGTATATATGAAAAATATATCAAAATACATGTGGGTACTCAAATGAAAGGTCTCGAAGAGTGTAATATCAGAATGAGCTTATATCTTAAAAAATGTCAATAGTACACAAGATACAAGGTCTTTTCTTAATTATTGACATTTTAAAAGAAATAAGCTCATCTCGATGTTACACTCATCAAGAGCTTTCATTTGAGTACCCACATGACATTTTTTATATATTTTATATATATGGTATTTGTGAAACGTAACATCAGGATGAGCTTATATCTTAAAAAATGTCAATAGTACACAAGATACAAGGTCTTTTCTTAATTATTGACATTTTAAAAGAAATAAGCTCATCTCGATGTTACACTCATCAAGAGCTTTCATTTGAGTACCCACATGACATTTTTTATATATTTTATATATATGGTATTTGTGAAATATATAAATATATAAAATATCTGAAAAATTGATGTGGGTACTCAAATGAAAGGTCTTGATGAACGTAACATCGGGGAGAGCTTATATCTTAGAAAATGTCAATAATAAGCGAATGACGTTGTATATTGTCTACTGGTGATATTTTTACCTATATAAGCTCATCCCGGAGTTACACTTATCGAGGCCTTTCATTTGAATACCCACACGATTTTTTTCATATATTTTATATATATGATATATCTCATATTTGTGAAATATATAAAATATATATAAAAATTCGTGTGGGTATTCAAATAAAAGGTCTCGATGAGCGTAACATCAGGATGAGCTTATATCTTAAAAAATGTCAATAATTAAGGAATAACTTTGTATTTTGTCTACTGATGATATTTTTAACAATATAAGCTCACCCTGATATTATACTCATCGAGACCTTTCATTTGAGTACCCACATGCCATTTTCATATATTTTATATATTGTATATATTCCACAAATACCATATATATGAAATATATAAAAAAAAACCAAGTGGGTACTCAAATAAAAGGTTTCGATGAGCGTAACATCAAGATGAGCTTATATCTTAAAAAATGTCAATAATTAAGAACTGACATTGCTATCTTGTCAACTTATGATATTTTAAAAGATATAAGTTCATCCTAGAGTAAATCAAATGACACTTTGTAAGGAACATTTTACACTTGTGGTATCTGTGGCACTAACTTAAGTGTAATAAATAGATACATTATTAATTAAACCTGTCTCGTTGTAATTTTTCCGCTCCAAATTTCCCACAGAAGTTATCTTCTTCACCATTCTCACTTACAAGTGCACATTCTTCACGTTGAATATCTCCGTAACATTCTTCCAAGCTTTTAAAACTTTCATCCCAGTCAATCACAGGTGCAGGAATAGTATGCTTTATAACTTCTAATTTATCAATCATCCGCTCAATAATATCCGCAAAATCATTTGCAATTTTCTCATCAAATTGATCTTTAATCAAAACATCTAAGGTCATACTTCTTACCGGAATATTTTCTGAAACTCTCGGACGTATTTCTTTCGCCGAAAATATTCCCAATGTCCCGACGTTAAAATTAATAGAACTTCTTCTAGTAGTTCCGCGCTCTCGATTTTTTATTAATTCAGAACTTTTCGTTATTTCAAGTAAAGATTGAATTGACGGTTCGTGAGAATGAGAGAAAGATTTCTTCTTAGTTATCGGCGGAATTGACACCGAAGAAGATACGGCTCTTTTAGATTTCAAGTTCTCAGGATCAAGTTTTATCTTCGACAGCTGTTCTATACTTTTTGATAAATTAACAGCTATTTCTTCTCTAGATTTTTCTTCCGTATCAACTTCGCTATCAAGTCCGTCAAAATTGACAAATTTTTCCCGCAATTGTTCATCAGTTGTTGAAAATATTTCCTTGAAAGCTATTAAAGATTTCCGCTTTTGATCACTGTAAGATCTGACGGGCATAGTTTCTTCTTCTTCTTCTTCTTCTTCTTCTTCTTCTGACATCCATTTAACTTTTTTTTCCTTGGACAAAATAAATTATTTTACTAATAATATTATTAGGAACATTAATGTCAAATGAGTACTAACTTTAAATGAAATTTATTGGGGTCTTGAAAAAAATTTTAAAGTATATCAATAATCTTACAATGATTAATAATTTTCTTTTTATTTACCTGAAATATTTTTTAGGGATCTATTTTAAAAAATCAGTAAATATAAATTAGTCGTTGATTTAACGTCTATCTTTATTGTTTATTAAATTAGACAATTCAATAATTTCTAACGATGCAATCAGCTGTATAAAGGTGGTTGTTTTCAGCACGGTCAAAAATCAACTAAAATAATTTTAATTATACCAAGTAAAATAATAAATAATTAATTTAAACGGTCGATAACACCATTGTTTTTTAATCCAATTAATTAAACTGCATTGTTCGGATAATATTTTAAAGAATTATTTATTATGGTATCTACTTTAATAATATAAGTATTATAATTTTAAATATAAAAACGGGTGTTCTCTCATATAGCTCTATGTTAAAACTTTATTTTTTAATCGTTAATAACTTTTTTAAATTATCGATAAAGAGTTTTTAATTTTTGAGGGAAGATATGTACACGAGTAAACTTGTCAAAAATTAAAAATATTAATTTTTATCTACTATATTTACGCATGAACGTCCTTAAGCGTAAATACACGAAGAGTATGCTCTATTATGGCTTTAAAATCAAATTCCCGATCTTGTCACATTAAATTGTATTAAACAGTCATAATACAGGGGAAGGAGGGGGAAAATAGGGTACTTAAGAAAATGCTAAGTTTTTGGGACCCTAATATATTGTCTTTTTTTTTTTGAATTGCATTGAAAGTATATGAAACAAATTTTCAATTGCCGTTAAAAAAAATTTTTCATTTTTTGCGGGAAAATTGGGGTAAATACTTAAATAAACATGTTTTTTATAACTTACATTTTCATCTTGGTTCATTTTCTTACGCTTTAATTACGCACAACTGATTTAGCATGTTTAACACTTATCAATAAAATAGTCGCTGTAATTACGATAAATATCGGGAGTGAAATTTTATCTTTTATACGATCCCATTCGTTATTACATTCCTTATCCATCTTTCCGAAATGAAAATATTTTTTGGTTATTAAAAGAAGCTATTGTCTATTGTTTTTATTATAAATGAAAAAAATAATATATATAAAATGTATTAAAATTAATAAATAATAGTTTTTTATTCTTCCAATAAATTCAAACATTCTGCATAATTTTTTTTTTTCAATTTAAAAATGTTCTTAAAAATTTTTTTATTTTCTTAATTAAAAAAATTAAATAAAGAAATTTTTATTAATTTTGAATTTCTTCTCTTATAAAGAGTTAAAATTGTCAATCATTTTGAGTTCTTCTTTTTCTAACCAGGATTGACAAATAAAAAATTATAATTTAATGAGAAAGTAATATTAATTATTAATAAAAAAAAAAAAGATTATATTTTTTAAAATGATATTTTAATTATACCATTTAATACAAAGTACAATCATATAATCATAACAATTATTATTGTGTAAATAATATCCTAGTATAGCATTAATAATATTGTCTAAAGCAGCTCTTTAAATTTTAATTGAGATAATTGTCAATTGAATATTTTAAATAATAATGATCATATGAACTTATCATATCAGTAATACAACTTTAATTATCCAACAGTATGTACCTATTTTAAATATTTACACAATCTCAACTAAAAATACTATTTTTTTTTTTCAATTAAAATTTTTTTTTTGCTTTTACATCACAAATAGCTAAAAAAATGGCAGTTATTTCTTCTTTTAAGCTTATAATTAATGAAATTAAAATTAGCAGTCACTAGAGAATTTTTCCAATTTTTTTTAACAAAAAAAATTTATTTTTAAAATACTGCATTTTTTATTTTTTAAAATTTCTACATGTCAATTTTTTTTTTGTCATAATTTATTTGTTAAAAAAAATCCTAAAAATTATTAAATATCTGCTAAATTTATTTTCATTAATAATTGATAATACTAAATCAAAGTCACTTGCAAAATACTAGAAAAAAAAAAAGATTTGCAAATAAAATAAAATTTTACACAAAATAACTGATGTATTCATGAGGCATTACACCACGTCGTGGATAAAACGTATGAGTATTAGAGTAATAAAGTAAGTTTGAAATAGAACTCATATAAATGTCTGCGAATCGGAAGAGTCTTCGTGAAAAATACGTCGGATTGTGATAAGTCCTAAATACAGATCCGAATTGTTTATTAAATACACGTTTTATGGCGTTACGAAGTTGGTCTCTTTCACGCATCCATTCTGCTAATTGATCTTGGACTTCTTCTCCATCGTAATCTTGATGTTCTTCAATAAGCGTTGTTAGCATTTGAAGCCAGTTTGCATTTTCTTTGAACTCTGGCTTGTTCAAATTTTCAATTTCATACTGCAAAAAAAAATTTTTATCAAAATTTTTATCAAAATTTTTATCAAAATAAAACAAGTTGCAACTATAATTTTTTTTATTAAAATAAAACAAGTTGTAACTATAATTAAATCATCATTAAAAAGATTTTTAATAATCATTTTTCTTTATGAAATAATATTAGGTAGACTTATTTATGAATTTAATTAATAATTATTGTACCCGGTCTCATGTTGGAATTTAAAGGAAAGGTATTCATGTTCATACACGGAAAGAACAAGATTATACTGGATATAATCCCAGATTATACTGAGTGAAAAAAAAATTTCAGATAGTAGCTAGTATAATCCAGATAACAATGAGTGTAATCCGGATTACAATGAGTATAATCCAGATTACAATGAGTATAATCCAGATATTATTCAGTATAATCTGAATTATACTAGCTACCATCTGAAAATTTTTTTCGCCTCAGATGTCACTGAGTATAATCTGAGATGGTATCCAGTGTCATCTTGTTCTTTCCGTGTATGTTAAGTATATCCTTTCGGTAAAAACAAAAAAAAATTTTTTTTTAATTTTGTAATTGATTTGCCACGAATTTATGATTAACTTATAAAAAATTGGATCATTACTTTTTATAGATCCATCCGAGCGTTTAAAATGCCAATTTAATGGTTCGAAAGTTACACTGATGGAAGGATTTATTAACTATTAATAATTTAATTTATGTGAAGACAATGATTTAATTAATTAAATTTTAATAAATATTTTTTAACATTCAATAAATATTTATTTGGGAGGAAAGTACATTTATTAATAGTCAATAAGTATTTATTAATAGTTAACAAATATTTATTAACAGTTAATAAATTGTACTTAATAAATTACTTATTAACTGTTAATAAATATCTGTTAACTGTTAACAAATATTTATTAACATTTAATAAATCGTATTTAATAAATAATTTATTAACTGTTAATAAATATTTAAATATTTTTTAACATTCAATAAATATTTATTTGGGAGGAAAGTACATTTATTAATAGTCAATAAGTATTTATTAATAGTTAACAAATATTTATTAACAGTTAATAAATTGTACTTAATAAATTACTTATTAACTGTTAATAAATATCTGTTAACTGTTAACAAATATTTATTAACATTTAATAAATCGTATTTAATAAATAATTTATTAACTGTTAATAAATATTTATTAAATCCTATGATGTTAAAAAACCACTTATTAACAGTTAATAAAACTTATTAAATATAAACAAATCCTTCTATCAGTGTAATTTTATTCGACAAATATTCTTCAGGCAAAAATCATAATTCTAAGCAAATTTATTAAATTAGTAAAAAAAATTTATTATTTATAAACATTGTCTTATTTTTGTAGTGAGTTATCACTTTAGTCTATCTAAAATTATTTAAGAAAAAAATTACTGTAAGAATTTTTATTTCTTCAGTAAAGAAATAAAATTCTTTGAAATTACAACATAGCTAATTTTTTTTTCTTAGTGTAATTGACAAAAATTAAAGAACTCAAAATATGAATTAAAATGTGAATAAATTAATTAATATACATTTTTAATATAAAGCTTAATAAAAAGATCTCCTGCAAAATGACACATTGTATGTAAATGAAAGTTCTTTACGTGAATTAAGAAAAAACTTCCCACGACTTGGAATGTTTTGGTACGGTTTGATCTAGTGACCCAGATTCTGCACATGCCCCGCCTTTATTCGTATATATATTTTAATAGAAGCTAGATGTTTTTACTAGTTGTTAATGCTCACTTTCACCTAATAATTCTCGTTATACATATGGGGCATTCTATGCCAAATCGACCACTTTTGACACCGACCCTTTTCGATTTTTCTGAAATTTTGGTATCTTTCTCTACCCTATTGAAAACAATTTTCAGAATTTTTTCAAATTTTTTTACCCAACCAAAAAAAAGTTACGAGTTATTACAAAAAAAACAGCTTTTTAAATAACCATAACTTTTTTGAAAATTGACTTTTTGGGATGTTTTTTTTTTGAAATTTTTGTCTTTAAATGTACTTTAAAAAAAAAAAAATAAAAATAATAATTCAGATTCATATTCAATGTTTTTTTTAACTTTTTGAAAAAAAACGAAAATTTCGGGATGATTGACATTTTTGATTTTCGATTTTTCTTTTTATAAAAAACTTCAGTATTTTTTGCAAATTCCCTAAAATTTTCAGAGTGGTAAACTTTTTCTTTCTATTTTTTTTTCAGAGTGGTATAACGAAAAACAAACATTTAAAAAAAAATTTTTTTTTCATTAAAAAAAAAA